ATTAAGGAAGGCTGGATACATTTTTTTTCCATTCCAGTTGACCAGCCTTCCAAGAAAAGTAAACAGTGAAAAAATTACATTACATTTAAATATCTGTCCTTTCGTCGGATGCAGTTTACGCAGTAAATGCAACCATTTTTTATCAGTCCTTCGTCGATTTCCTGATTCTTACTCAACAATGAATCCTTCAAAGTGGAAAGAAGAAACGAAATCGAATAGTCACGCAACGCGTAAAACCTTTCTTTTATTTAATTTGCACGTATTAAGAGCCTTTAAAACATTATTTATTTATTTATAATTTTGCAAAACCGCATTGAGTGTATTGTCTTTTCCGTACTGTTAAATTTTACTCAACGTGTATGATAGTTAGTAAATTGTGTATGAAATTTGGTGGAAATGAATTTCCTTTCATATGTATGAGCTTTATAGGAGTGTGACCCTAAAAAAGGGCAATACCCTTCAACGTAAAACACCGAAGGTTCATCCTTGCCACCGTTGGAGATTTTAATTGTATTATTTTTACATTTAACTAGACTCATCATTTGATTGAGTTGTTTTTTACGTTTTAAATTAACTCAATTGGTAATTTTCCTGTGACTGGCTAGATTATAGAACAAGGGGGAGAATTTACGTCTCAAGATGATTCGTGAGGTTATGACTCAACTTGGAAAATAAGAGGTGTTACTAACGCCATTAAATAAATGAACGGATTTCAGAATTACTGAAATATAAATTCCTAACATTCCTAACAATTTCTGTCTACCTCTGCTTATCCTGCTCTTAGTATTATCTAGATTTTGCACAACAGACGTACTCAACTGCCTAGATAAATGATACTGCTCAACTGCACACTGCACAGAACATACTAAATGCAACACGATTTTCATTTGTAAACCCATTACTCTAATATCTAATTACTAAAGCTATATTATAATTATTTATATTTAATTATATACCGAGTTCTTATATATTCTTATATATATGAAAACTGACTTTCTTTTTAATGCTTAGTTATATTTGTGAACATTTGAATATGCCTTTATCCCCGTTATTTGACAATACACGTTCTGTAGACTAATCATTTCCTCTTTTTGGATGACAAAATTTCCATCTCTTTTATTTCTTAACACCTTGGATGTAGGAAGAACCTACAAATCAATAGTTAATTATTGGTACAATTTTGTTGTTTCCTTGAGGAAAAAAGAAAATGTAAGGAAGGTCATGGACCAAATTATTGAAAGTATCGGTTAGTGTAACTCGGTGTAACATTAACCTCAAAGTTAACGAGTAACGTTTGTAGCGTACAATCTTGGCAGCTAGATGTATGCCAATTTTTTTTATTTTATACGTTTTCGAAAAAACGAGCGAGTTATATTTAAAATTTACGCTAATAACGTTTAGAAATAAATACATAGAATAGAACATTAACCTTGAAGCGAAAAATATCTCAAACACACCAGTTTGCTAGTTTTGATTTTTTTATTTTTGGGTCATATGATAAGGTTTCTTCAACGTAATCGAGTGGTAATGGCAATTCTAAGATACGTGTAATTTTTCTGTTAAAAACGACTATTAATTACCTCAATTGGTCGGTGTCACTTGTAAATTACTTTTAAATTGGCGTGAATAATCAATTGTGCCGTATCACATCTGGACAATTTGTCAGCTTTCCGTTTGAACCTTTTACTACTTTTTATTCTCTAGTTTTGTATTTACAATTTTCAATAAAAATAACTGATTAACGTAGAAAGCAAGGCTACTATCAATTAGATGCATTTAACAGAAGCTCAAATAATAAAAATCTATATAATGACTTTACTGATTTAATTATGTGAAAATATTACTATTATTTCCAAAACAGGATTACCTACATTGTCCATAAAATATTCTGTTACTTCCTACACATACCATCGATAGATTTTGTTAAACCTTTAATGGAAGAAGGAAATTGAATTAGTAAACTTACACACATCTAAGTACAATTAAATTGATACATTTAAACGAGGCTTACCTCTACAAATCCCTTATATGTCTCGCAAGAGCCAGTATTATCTTCAAGATCGTTGCATTGAAATTAAAGAGGACGCTGTATTGCAAATAAGTGTCATTAGGTGATTAAAACCTTTATACCTATTCTAACTTCGTTCTTAATCCAATTTTTATTTGTATAATTTAAACTTATAAAATCATTTTTAATAATGAAATGTTGTATACTCCAACATTAAAAATAGCGCAGTCTTGTCTGCTGAATTTAATTTTTAATGCAAGAAATAAGTCAAAGACCTGTGACATGGATAATAAAAGAGTACCAAGTTCATAAATTGATAGTATCGTGTATAAGATAGTGAGGCGTAGTTACTCCATTTTGAACAAGTCTGTTTAACTATTTTAAAATGAGTCACTTCTGTTAATTAAACAAATACAGTATCTTCTAATTAATTTGTAATTGGATCTAATTTAGCTCGTGTATTGCACATTCGTTACTGCTGTACTCTTCGCAGTTATTTATCTGGTCGTGTATATTAATACGTGGGATATTTTTTACAATTGTTTATCAATATTTTATCACAGAAGTGACAGAAGTTGTGACTGTAACAGACGTGCTGTTTAGAGTCAGATATAAACAATGTACAGAATGAATCAAAAACATCCAAACAATTTTTGATTTTTTAGGATCGCTCTATTTTTTTAATAAAGGAGGCACTAATTTAAATAATAGAAGTGAATTGGCAAGAATAACACAGTTTGTGCTAAATCATTTATGAAAGATCTAACTAGGTAGCGGTTTGACAAGTCAAACAATATGAGTTTCTCATTTATTTACTGAATATGTTAACGAGATCCAGGATTCAATAAAAGTAAATTTAGCAAATTAATGATGTATGTTGTGTGCTAGGCACAATGAGTATTAAATAATATTTATGCAAAGCAAATAATGAACATGAGAAAGATGAGTAACTTTGATAATTGAATGTTTTCAGAAATTTTGACAATTGTGTTTCCCCTACAGCATGATTTGGACAGCACGAGTGTTTGTCTTGTTATTAGCGATTGAATTTAAGTTGAAATTTATATAAAATTAAATAATGTAAATAAATTTGTACGTCATAGCACCTCAAAGTTCGTATAATAAATAGCTATGAAGCAGGTATATTAACACAATATCAACGAAATAAATTATTATTTATTATAAAACCTGACAAAAACAAAATAATAGACGTAAATTGAACTTGAAGTGATCAATCTCTAATACGTATGAAATTGATTCCAAGTAGATAAATATATACGAGTATTTTTGTGCGATGATTTTCATATAATAAAAAATTTTGCTTTTACAGATATATTTATTATTACAAATGACCAGTAATTTAGAAATATACAAGTGATAGTAATGTTAGTACAGCTTTCACTATTGGAATATAAGTAAGTTCATAACAATTTTTGACTTTACAAATCATCATAATGAATTTAGTAATTTGGAACTTTCATCTCTGATATACAGGGTGGAAGTAAAAATTCAGTTAAACATGTGTTCAGAAACGCCTAGTTTTTGAGATATAGGGTGTTAAAGTATGAAAACATATTCGATTTTTTTTATTTTATAAAAAGATGACTAAATTGATTTCATTTATATCTAACATGTTGCTTTAATACTTGATTGCTAGGTTTGTTAACACAGGGGCGTAATTCTAGGAATTGACGTAATAATTTTCACTTTCATGTACCAAAACATCAAATTATTTTTTAAATAAAAATAATTATTGAAATAAAAATGTCATCTGCGAATTGAATATTTTTACATGAAATAAAACATATACTGTTTATATTAATAGAAAAAAATTAAGATAGGAATTTTAAACTATCTAGAAAATGTCGACGTTCTGTGAAAATATTTGCAAAATCACAAATTTAGATAAAAATATAATAAGTAAAATGCAACAGTAGCAATTAAGATTATACCTATCGTGACAAATTCTAAATCCAGAAATTACTAGGTGTCTTGTCAAATTGATAATAATTATGTACATACTTTACTGTAATGATTTCTATTATTCATCTTAAATATTTTTTTAACTGTTATATCCTTCGATCCAGGTTGTTTTTATAAAATATTTGTAAAGTGACTTGTATCTTCCAGCCACATGGGACAAGTAACAATATATAATTGAATAAATTCTAGAGTGCAGGCTGCATTAAACTTCAAGGGCTTTGGTTTATCAAAAGCTATTGAGAATAATGTGTAACGCGACTCAGAATTTTAATGGCATTGGCCAAATGATGACCTCAATTAGACCAACTACATTGTTATTTTCAACTGATCTGTTCAAAAATACATTTCAGTATGTTCAGGTATTAAAGGAGAATAAAAAATTAAATATTTATATTTCGCCACCATCTGATTATTATAATTAAAATTCCGTGATAAGTTTCAATGGAATAGCTTGAAATGCGGAAACTAATAGCTGTTGGTTGGGCACTATTGTTTCAAGATAAGAAGAAAAAGAAATCTGAATTCTCTTAAGTTATCAATAATATTTATCGTAATAAGGACACCAGATAATAGAATAGAAGCGTATTCCAGTCTTGACCTGAGAAGACAAAAAGACCATAATTCAATCAGTGGTCTGTAATATTAATTTGTTTTTGTTGTTGAGTTAAACCATACCATCTAATTAAGATGTTAATTGGAAAAACTTTTTCGGTTCTGCGTATATGAAGATTTTTCTTAGTTTATTCGTAGAATGCAAATAGAGTGTTACATTCACTGCCAAAAATCCATTATTAAAAAATCATTTCAATTTTTGATAATCTCTTACTAATTGCATTTCGAGTGAACTTTATTTTTGCTTGTAATAAACATCAATCATTCGACTGCATATGTTTTTATTATAATCTTCTACTACCCACACAATAGTGTTACTTCCTATTTGTAATGTCAAGATTATCACTAATAAAAACTGAAAATGATCTACAATATATTTATTTCGTATTTGTTGCAGAGCTTCAGTTAGTACCCTCGCCCACTGCCCCCACTAGCCGCCGCCCCCCCATTCGCCGGAACTTCCAATTTCAGTCGCCGAAAAACAACAACAACTCCGTCTACAGCGTAGAATGGTAGAAGGTGAACCTCCTTTAAAGCACAAGCAAGACTGTGATGTAAAGGACGAGCGCGTACTCAACGGCCGTGGATCTAAAGATCTCGAGCTTGGCACCTTAGGCACCAAAGAACTGACCAAAGTCGCATCGGATGTTGGAAAGAGCAGCGACAAAGCGGACTTCGAACAAGCCATAGAACTAACTAAGTAATTGATGATTTTTCATAACTCATTTTCCTTCAGAAATCAATCTCAGCTCAATTTGTATACATACAACGCAATCACTAGAGTAAACAGTAAATGATTTAAAAGTTTGATTAAGTTAAAGTTTTTACATTAACTTAATCGATGTCGGTTAACTGAAACATTTTTTTTTTTTTCAGATATGGAAAGTTTCACTATATTCTGTTAGCAATATGTGGCTTTGTGAGCACCTCGGAGGAGATGGACGTCATCTCGATGTCCTTCATCCTCCCCGCGGCCCAATGCGACTTAAATCTAAACACGCAGACCAAGGGGTGGCTGAACTCTATCATCTTCGTCGGGATGATGGCCGGAGCTTACACCTGGGGTTCCGTGGCAGATTCTCTTGGGCGTAAGAAGGTGCTCATCGTGAGTTCCTTCATGAATGCCATATGCATTGTAGCCTCGAGCTTCAGTCAGTCATATGAGCTGTTCATGTTATTCCGATTTCTAAATGGGGCGGCGTAAGTATTATTAATTAACTATTTCGAATTTTTACATTTTTAATTGCGGTACTGTATAATTTGCCTTTCTGTTATAGATTAGGGGGCAGTGGGCCAGTAATCTGGTCCTATTTCGCAGAATTTCAACCCAAATCCAAGAGGGGCTCTATGCTTTCGTTCATGGCAGCCTTTTGGACCTTGGGTAACCTTTTCGTAGCCGGTCTGGCTCAAGCAATCATACCAACGAATATAGGCTTCGAAACAAATGGCTTCGTTTACAATTCCTGGAGAATTTTCTTGCTTGTCTGTGCTCTACCATCGTTCATCGTAGCTGGACTACTATGTTATTTGCCAGAGAGTCCGAAATTCTTACTATCACAGGGAAGAAGTGAAGAAGCCATCGCAATTTTCAGATATATCTATCGCGTCAACACCGGTAACGACTGCGATGATTATCCTGTGAAACATCTTATCTATGAAGAAGAAATATTGACTGTAGAAGAAAAAGAAAAAATAGCTAAGAGAGGCAAGTACAAAAATATGATAATAGATATCTTGGATAACAGCAAACAGTTGTTCGTCTCGCCTATTTTGAAATACACAATCATCTCTATTACCATCAACTTCACATTCCATATTGGCTACTACGGTTTGATGATGTGGTTCCCGGAGCTTTTCAATAGGTTCGACAAATATGGGGCAGCTTATCCTGGTGAAAGTGCGGGGGTATGTCAAGTCACAGACTTTGTCGTCAGTCAAGGAAGCCAAGGTGGAGAAAAATGCATTAGAGAAATTTCATTTAATGTATTCATGGAGTCTTTGATTACTGTTGCTGCAGCACTTCCAAGTAACATCGTCGCAGTTCTTTTAATGGACAGACTTGGTAGAAAGTTTTTTTTAGGTAATAATTATTGTAACATACTTATTTGTACTTGTACTTTGTATACTTCTGTATTACTCAATTTACAATTGTTTTTGAGTATGACGGAGATATTTGCATACTATTTTTGCTGCACTCAGAGTAAACGTATCTAATATTTAATTTTTTTTGTTTTCAGTATTCAGTACAGTATCAGCTGGGTTATGTTCAGCATCTATGTATTTTGTGTATAACAAGACGCACAACTTGATAGTATCAGCCACTTTCAGTGGCGTAATTTCGTGTGGTAATGCAGCATTGGACTGTCTTATTACTGAAATATTCCCAACTAATCTCAGGTAAGCAGCAGTTCAATAATTTTTGTCATTATTATCATTTCGTATTTCAAAGATAGTAATTACTTACATTGTTCTGAAAATACTGTTATACAGTATCACGTGATATTCTACCACTTTATCTTTTTGGTCTTCCATCTAGAAAAAATAATAATGCCTAAAGTTCTACGAAATTTACTTTCGACCCCAAATATATATATATATATATATATATATATATATATATATATAAACAATTGAAGGTTGCATTTCAGAGATATAAACCAAACTTGTGTTATTTTCTTAACGGAACACCCTTTACATTTGTGGTTTCTTAGAATCCTCTCCTTTTTCTAATTACAATTTGCAAAATATTTTGTTCCATTTAGTATCCTTCCTACCACAATATATAAAGTCGAGATTACCACTCCATATTTATACTTTTCTACTATTACAATTATTACATTTACTAAATACGTAAACCTATAAATATTTTATGAAGAAAGACTACTATACTATACTATAAGTGTTTTATGATAACCCATTGTATTATAGATAAAGAACTTTTTTTTAATAAGTTTTCCTCATAAGGGGATAATTTTATGATCCGCAAAAGTCCGAAGTTGACTTCTATGTATTTCTCTCTATGGGAACCTCTGAGGGTAAACAAAGACGATCTAATAGGCCATGTCACTCAAGGGAAATATTGAACAAAACTAATATTATCAATCAAGTGATGAATGAATGATGAATGAGATGAAGATATTATAAGAGACATTTTATAATAACATTTTTTCTGATTAGAAAATTTTAAGATTTCTTTAGCTTGACAGGGAAGAACATACTCATGCACTAGTACCATGGCAATCTTCACTATGAGCAGGATCAGTAAAAATACAATCCAATAATATATCAAAGTAATTATATGACTTGTAGTTGTCGTTGTAAGCAAAGGGGAATCAAAACGACTAATAAACGGGGTTTATATCTCCGAAATGCAACATTCTATTGTTATTTCCTAAAATATTGGTCTACCATTTTTTCATAGATAGAAAGTCAAAAAGGATGGGTAAAATATTATGTGAATACCAGTGTAGTATTGACTGAAACGAACTATATATGAAATACATCTGATATAGTACGTTTCTTATTGTGTGGCGTGGAAACGTATGTCATTTATTTTAATGAAACAGATTATATAAGCATTAAAATTGATTTTCATATATTTTTTTGCAGGGCTACAGGTATAGCTATTTCTATGGTGGCTGCTCGTTTGGGTGGCATCATTGGCAATATAGTTATCGCAACCCTCCTCGATATGTACTGTCCAGCGCCTACATTTATAGTAGCAGCGCTTCTCATAGGCGGAGGTCTGCTTTGCCTGTTTTTACCAAATACTACTCGCGAACCATTATCTTAATCTTTAAATATATTAATATATACATTATATAATCATTAAGAACTTGTTCACGTTGCTGTTTTGTTTTTTATTACTTTATGATTTTTATCAATTTAATTCATATGCTAATGCGCTATATTTTATTTTTTAACCAAATACTCTTTTGAGCAATTTTCCAAATTCTACTAATACATATCAATAGAAGATAAAATATTGCGCAGTTGGCAGCCATTTGTAGATATTGAATGTATGTTCATGAAATAGTATTAGTAATGTAGGAAAATATGTAATAGAATTTAGTTACCACACACTTCCATCACTTATGTAATATATTAATTATTAATATTAATAATAAAACATTGATTTGTGCATTATACGCTCAATTTGTCAATTATTTAAGAAATCACCCATATTAATAAAGTTGTAAGGAAAATACCACTGATTATATTTTATATTATTGCTACATTATGCAAATAAGTAATACACCTATTGGGTAAACTAACAAATAGTGGTACAGAATAAAGAAGTTTAATAAAGTTAATATCCACGATAAAAATACAATAGGTAGGTATACAAGTATTTACGTGAATTATAGTAATAGTTTTATGAATATTATTAATAGCCTATTTTATTAGATTATAATAACTCGTCTAATTTTTAAAAGTACGTAATTTAAATAGAAAAAGTCAACTTAAAGTGTGGCTGTAGAGAAAATTGTAAACAAAACATTTATTAGACAAAAGTAGTTGGGTTGCCTCTGAAAAATTAAAAACATGGTTAAATTAATTGTACGTTTATGTTTCAAACATATTAGACACCCAGGCCAGAAACAGCAGCTGAAGATGTGACAGGTGTCAAGAGAAGATTCAGTTATCTTCAACATTCTCAGTTATTTAATACATCTAATTACCTTCTTTTGCACATGCTGGCTAAATTATATACCTATAATCATAATTAAAAAATTATTTTAAATTTTTGACCATAATTCATGTCCTGTAACAATTATTAAATGTACCTAATCATGATACTTCTAATTTTTGATTCAAGATTGCTGTAATTTCTATTAAAGTAATCCACGATATTAGACAAAAGTTGTTGCTTTTGATGAGTGGATAAAATTTTCAACTTCTTTCTAGGACACCCTGTATAGCTAAAAGTAAATTATATAGGTATCTTGTTTGTCATTTTTCTACATCCATTGAAAAATATAATTCTGTTATTTTTAAATTTGTAACACCTGACATCAAAGGTTATGAAAAAATATTTATGAATAGACTTCGACCTTTGATTTCAGTGTTTGGTAATTAAATTTATTTAATTACAACTTGAAACTTGTAATATGGCCACAGAATATATAACCCAGAAGCGAAACTTCCAGCCAGTTTTAATTTTGAATGGGTATGAATAGTCGTCATTATTTTGTATGTATTTCCTTCAACAACAAAATTAATTTTGTGTTTGTATTGTATTGGTTTATAATATACACACGTATTTCACCAAACTCAATTGTTAAGATACGTATATAGCAGCCTATATTTACTTGTATTAAGTAAAAATGCAAGAAAATAATCCATAAAGAAGATGTGTATTATTTCTCTACTTAAATATTTAATTAATAAATTTAAAAAATAACAAAAAATAATTTTATGAACGCAATAAATTTTCAAATGATGCTTTTTGTTCCAAAATCCATTTAAAAACAAATAACGATATTTATATCAGAAATACAATAATTGTAATTTTTAAATTTAGGCAAACAAAATGACAGAAAATTAACTCAAAGGCCGGCTTTCGGTTCTCAGTTATATTAGCCATGTTTTTACTGACGTAGTGTCATGTGTCAAAGTCCTGTCGAAGTCAGAGTTATGGTGGTGGGAGGAAATTGTTTATGTAGTAATAGTTAGTTATAATCCTGTCTTTAATTTAGTTTTTAGTTGAATGTAAAGTTAGTATTACTTAACAATTTAGTTAATTATTCATAACACGGTGGTCTAATATATTTGTAGAAACTATTAGTGTAAAAAAAATTGCAAGTATATATAACCTATTTTTTTAAGAAACATGACTATTCTACGACAAAAGGTTGATGTGCTCACGCAACAGTATCCTCCTCAAGTAATGTACAAGCTGTTGAAGAAAAATCTCATTTCCAAAGAATACGCTGACTACCAGTTTATGCAGAAAAGTAAAATACCAACCATGCATTTTCAGCAGTCTTTACCTCGATTACCAATTCCGAAACTAGATCTAACTTGTGAAAGATACTTAGCTGCTCAGCGCCCTTTGTTGATCGACGAGGCTTATCGTAAAACAGAATATAATGTCAACCAATTCAAAAGTGGGCCTGGAAAACAACTACAAGATTTACTGAAAAATTATGACAGACAAAACAAACACACTAGTTACATTTCAGAATTTTGGTTTGATACTTACTTAAGAGATCGTAAACCTATTCCAATAAATTATAATCCTATGCTAGTCATACATAAAGATGAAAGACCTGAGTATAATGACCAATTAATTCGAACAACAAATCTTGTTATAAGTTCGCTTCGTTTTTACAAATCTTTAAAAACTGGATTGTTAGAGCCAGAAGTTTTTCATTTAAATCCAAAAAAAAGTAATACAGAAACTTTCAGAACTTTATGTAGTACCTTGCCACCTTCTATGTCATGGTATAGTGCTTATTTATTCAAGGCTTACCCCTTAGACATGAGTCAATATCCAAACTTGTTCAACTCGACAAGAATTCCTGAGATTGATAAAGATAGACTGTTTAGTAATCCTCAAGGTAAACACATTACAGTGCAGTACAAAGGACATATTTATGCCTTTCGTGTTGTTTCCGATGAGAATGATATAATACCTGCTGAGCAGATCTTAGCACGATTGAAATATATCTTAGAAGATGAGAGCCCTAAAAACGAATTCCCTATTGGTATCTTAACCACTATGGAAAGAAATAAATGGGCTACACTGCGACATGAACTAGGTGAAAATGGAAATAGTCAAACTTTGAAATTGATTGATTCTGCACTATTCAATGTCTGTTTAGATATTGAAATTTTAGGAGATGATCCTTATGCAATTTCAAGAAATTTTTTGCATGGTGATGGAGAGAACAGGTATATTTATATATAAAGTTGTGATTTGTTGAGTTTTGTTTATGTTCGGTAGTTTTACTTTATCACAAACCATATCATATTTTAGATGGTTCGATAAGTCATTTTCCTTGCAAGTATCAAAAGATGGTCATGCAGCTGTCAATTTCGAACATGCTTGGGGTGATGGAGTAGCAGTATTACGTTATGTTCAAGATATATATAAGGATTCTAGAGAAAACCCTTTTATTCATCCCGATTCAAAACCTTATGATGAGGCTATTAATAATGTTATTCGTTTAGGTAGGCATTTTTTTATTACGGATAAATATGTTTTTAATTACATTATTTTCAGACTTGCATTTAAGTGACAAGATAAAGGGCAGTATAGTGCAAGCTAAGGAAGAGTACAAAAAGATGTGTAAAAGCTTAGAAATCGATTATTTGATTTTTGATAGAATTGGGAAAAATGTTTGTAAAAAACAAGCTGTCAGCCCTGATTCCGTCATGCAACTTGGTTTCCAGGTTGGTTATTACAAGATGACAGGAAAATTTGTTCCAACATATGAGTCTTGCAGTACAGCTGCTTTCAAACATGGTAGAACTGAAACTGTTCGTTCTTGCACTACAGCAACGAAGGTAATAATAGTAGTAATAAAGTACAAATCTATACATTTTTTTTTTCAATTAGTCTGCATTATACTTTACATTGTGTTATTACTAAAATTGATACAATTTATTTTTACAGTTGCCAATATGAATATAATAAAAAATAATTTTTTTTTAGGCCTTTACTCTTGCCATAACTTCGAAAAATAAGCCTTCCGACACTGAACTAAAAAATATGATTTCGGATTGTTCAAGAGTGCATAATCAGCTTACTAGAGAAGCTGCTATGGGGCAAGGTTTTGATAGACATCTTTTTGCATTGAAAAAGTTTGCGGATAAAACAAATATGGTGTGCAATATTTTTGATGATCCAGATTATGCTTTTTTGAATAACATCATTCTATCCACGAGCACTTTGAACTCACCTGCTATTTATGCAGGAGGATTTGGACCTGTTGTTAAAGATGGACTTGGAGTTGCGTAAGTGGATTTTATCTATTAGATGTATCATTGTTGCATTCTTTATTTTCTTGTCTGTTTTACAAATTGCAGTGGTTTATTCCCTTTTAGGTATATAATAAAAGATGATCAATTGGGTGTTCTAGTAACTTGTTACCCTCCATATCAGAGTGGATCTGATTTTATCGATTCATTACGAGGTACATTTGATGAATTGGTAAATCTTCTTCAAAAAGATTAATAATAGCAACAACAAAGTATTAAATGTTTTAATGAATGCCAAAAGTGTGATTAAAAACATTTTAGTTTGAGGTTTGTGTTTATATTTAAATTGACATTCAGGTATTTTAAGTATTTTCAATGGGTGTTGTTGCCTGAGCTTTTGTCTTCCAGATTATTGGTGCCTTGTAAATGCCTTATAATTAGTTCTAAGAGATAGGATTGTTGTGTTTGTTTTTTCATATTTACATATCGATATTTCTAGCAACAATATATTTTTTATTTTGTAAGTTCTTTTTATATGTTCATCAATAAATATTTTATAGTATTATAAGCATTTTTTACATAAATAAAAAATTGTGTAGTACATTAATATTAAAATTGATACCAGCACTAAACATTTAATTGCTTTTAACTTGTACTAGTTTATTACAAAATTATAAGGTAACTTGCATAATGTCTTAAACCATAAGTGGCAACAGAAATAGTTTATCACTTCATTGATGTCTATTTTTTTATATATAGTATTTATCATGATAAATCTGACGTACCGATAAAATAAACTTTTCTTGGTTCTGATATGTACATATTATCTTACTATTTTCACCCCATTTTTGTGTTTACTTGAAAACTTTAATATTGATCTTCCTGCCTAAGTGTGCTACTAAATTGTGAAAAAGGTGTGTATAAATACTACCATATGCTATTTTTAGACTTTATTCATCTATAATAGCTGTAATAAACTATAATTTTTAAAGTGAATTATTTACAAATTAGCTATTAACTCACAAAATACCAAAAAACCAATATTACAAATTTACAATATATTATGTTCTACATTTTGCAAATATAAGAAGCATTTTTAAATACATTAAAAATTTTCTAATTATAATTTTTCAAATGTGTCGCAAGGTTTGTGAATAAATGAATTAAAAACCTTATTTTTTTCGTTATGTATCATATTTATATAATCAAATTTTAACTGAAAAATAAGGTTGTCAATTTATTCCTAGATAAAATACATACATATATACACAGGGTGTTTTGTAAATGTGAAAATTTGTCCATTAAAAAGATTTTAACTATTTTCCAAAATACCTTTACATCACACCCATTGTTTGTTTTTGGTAAAAAAATTCAAAAATCTTGAGTTACATCAAAATCATTTTTAAGGCCAAACTATTTTTTTTAAATAAACAAATACTATGCTTTCAATTTATGTGAAAATTGTGTATATCATGCTACATCATACTAGCTGAAAATCAACTCGTGCAAAGTAGTTAATGTTTCCTAATTTCCCTCAGATACGCAGTGTTCCATTTCAATCAATCAATAATCTACATGGAACGATCTGAAAACAACTTTGAGTTCTTGTATTAGTCTGCAGACAGGCACACCCTGTATACATATATCACACTATTATGGTGTAAACTGTAATAGATACAGCCATATTTTAAGTGGACTTACTATCACCTATTTTGTTTAAACCATGGAGAAATTCTGACCAATATGTTAAAATTATGCTTTAAAATTCGTAACAAAATGGTACGAATTAATAACAATTTTTATAAAATACACATTAATAAAACAGTTATTAAAAATGATTTTAGCATATTGTGAAAAAAAAAAAATGTGAATTTTGCAGCTGCCTAAAATTTTTAAATATTACTAAAGTTCTAACTTCATTTTCTTCTTAAATGGAGCACTGCATATATTTTTTGTCAATTTGATAGTCTTATTTTCAAACACATTCTAAAATATTATGGGTGTTTGGAATGCAAAGTTCATATATGCAATGTTCCTGAGATCCTTCTAGAATTGGGATAATATAAACATCTATGTAATGCTGATTTATAGTGACATTATTTGTATTCAGGCTAATCATGTACCAAACAAGAAGCAGGATTCTTAATACAAATCATTTACATAAAAAAATAAGGAACCAATTAACTTCTGAACAATTTTTACTTTAAACTAAGTATAGTTTAATTTCTTAAAATCATGTGGCATATTTTTTAGTATTTCTAAAACATTAGAAGAAAAACATTATTAAGAAAAACTATCACAAATTCCAAATTTGCGAAATTTTATATCATTGTGCTACCGTACTGTACGGTAAAAAACTGGAGAATCCCATTTCTGCTTTCAATATGGAACATATACCATAATAAGAAATATTTGACAAACAATGAATATCTTAATAAATAAGAAATTGTACGATGCTAAAATCCCTATCCCGATTCTTAAAATGTTTTATTCCCTGCAAAGCATATTATTCTCTATCTATTATTAAAATATACAATTTCTCCTGTAATTTTTTTGTCATCCAAGGCAACATACTATTTCTGAATTCAGATCATATTTCCATTTTTAACAATGATAGTTTTTAATTTATTCATCGTAGTAATATACAAATTAATAATCTACAGCATATCATTTACTAAGTATATATTTTCATTTATTAGTGTGCTATATTTTCAAAATCTGTACAGAAATCAAATAAAAAAAAAACTAACAATTTAAAACTTAATAAAAATAAATTAAAGGTAATCAAAATGTGATTCCAATTAATTCGGTTCGAGAAAACAACTCAAGAATATAAAAAATTAAATCTTATAAAATTGCAGTAACTAAGTACGCACTTGTATTATAGCTCCGTTATCTTTTTCTTAAACGAGGTAACTAGGTATTTATTACGATCTATAAATACTAAAATACTAGTTACAGAACGGATGCCTTGGACAAATCTATTCATTGTAGTCCCACCATTCTTTCTCATATCCTTCATGAACATGTTCTAAGAGAACTTTTCTTCTACTATCGCAATACCTGAAAAGATTTATTTATAGGAACTAAAAATGATATAAAAATCACAGTAATGATAGAATTATAGATCAGTTAATTAAGAAGCCTGAAATTAAAATTCAAGTCGAAAAAAAAAGTCTAATAGTTTAACTAAAATTTAGCATTGTATTTTTGGGAAATATGGTCCTTTCAAATCTGTTTATTGTTTACTACGATTTTACTGGTATCTATTTAAAATAATCATACCTGTATTTATCCTGAACTTTTTGCTTAATATCAGCAAGATTCTCAGACGTAATATCCCTCTCCAAATACTCTGATAGAGTTTCTGTGGCACTCTCTAGGTCCTTTTGGTTATCTTCAAAGATCACAGACTGGTTATTTTTTTGCAAGTAATATGCAAATACATAAGTATACATTAATGTTTGCCTACACTGACAAAGTATATCCACTGCTCTCTTTAAGAACTGCACTTCAATCCAGCTCATGTTATGCTGTTGCATTTCTTCCATTTTTTCTTTAACAGAAGCATAGAGTTTATGCTCAAATTTTAATGAAGCCATGTGGTTCATGTATCTGTTGCAGTAAAATAGATAACGTTGGAGAGCAGATCTGGACTTTTCTTGTGCATCTCGAGCTGCCTTGGCTTCATCTTCATCATATCTGTTACAATTGTACCAAGAACTACCATGGGGTTCCCATGGGCCTAAACACACCCAACAGAAATCGGTTTTGCAATTTTGATTTTTGCAAACCATATGATTGCAACCACCATCCTTTTCTATTGTAACATTGCATCTGGGACATTCTTTGGTGTTTGCGGCTATCCAGTTACTGGTTTCCGAGTCATCGTCACATTTTTTTATCCATTTTTTTAATAAATGGCATTTCACAGGGTCATGCCAATTTTCACCACAAGCAAAACAAAATGTATGATTGCACTTGCACATCACCTTGTGTGGCTCAACATACTGTACTTTAATTGCATTGCTGCAGTCTGGCGAAGGACACCATCTTAAAAGACGGTTGCACTAAAACAATTTTATTTGCACTTTATTTTATTTTTATTATACCATTAATAAATTTATATTTAAATATTTAAATCATTTAATATGCAATTCATCTAAAGCTGGCTATTTTATCATTATACATATATAGCTTTAATGTGTCCATAGTTGACTTTATAACAAACTTTTATGCTTTTAAATACATAAATTTCTTATTCTTATATGTTTTTATACTCTGCGGCCGAAATTATAAAGAGTGACTAAGACATAATATAAAAACACTATTACCATAATGCGTATAAAATATAAAATGATTTCTATACGGTTCAATATTATTTATCTTTGTGCCGCTCGCCATGCACATCGGTAGAATCTATAATCGTCTATAGACTGAGTTACACCGAACGTCGATCTATATTTTATCTCTGTCTTTTGCACTTGGTAGGGAATAGGGAAATGCTTTTTTAGTGGGTGTAAACGGACTTGATTTGCCCGACCTGAGAAAGTCATAGCATAAGCGTAGACGAGGGGTCTAATTCCATGGCTATAATAAATTTATAAATTAAAAAAACACAACTGGGACGTTTTAATATGCTGTAATAATTAAAATTGATCAAAGTGCCGGTTATAGCAAACCGTAAAAAATATTAAATGTTATGTTTTATTATGTTTTTTCAATATTTTCTATATTTTGTTGCCTTTTACGCAGACACGCCAATAGATTTTCGTTCCCGGCACGCTTCATCCCCCTTACTAGTCCAAAAGCTAGCGATGAATCACTCTCTATAATTTGGGCCGCGGAGTATAAATCTAAAATATGTAATAAAAATCCTACCTCAACAAAACTATTTGTTATAAGATGCTGATACTTCAGTCTAACTTTTGAATCTCGAACCAATCTCATAACACTAGCATCGTCAACTAAAATGTCACAACCATGAGCGGCACAAGCAATTGTTTGTCCAACACCTTCTTCCATTATTTTTGTTGTTAAATATTCACACCAACAGTGAGTACAAAATCGATGTCCACATTCCAAGCCAGTCATATGCTTTAATATATTGACTATTAGGATACTTTTTACAATCAACTACATAATTTTTTAATAAACAATTTTACTAATATAAAAAAAATTACATGACTTTCTATTCCTATGTCAATAACTTTTATTTTTAATTACTGTTTCATACTTAACGGCCCAATATATACCTAGTCATCAAATATTTTTATCTGAAGGCATAATGGATTATGAAGCAAACACAAACAATTTTGTTGATATAAACATATATATAATTTGGCTCAAAAGATTTACTGTGTGAAAAATCACTGTATATTTATTATAAGCAAACTAAAAAATATTTAGAATTTGTACTTACCGATGAAGGCAAAACCATGAAGCATATCTCGCATTCTTCTGTCCCATTTGAATTTTTCTTCTGAGGCTAGAATTAGAAGAGTAATTAATTTATATTGTTTTTATTTAACTATGCATTTAGGAAATGAAGTACTTACTTTAGCTCGGAAACTGATATTTAGATCTTTAAATGGATTTATCACTCTAGCCTCTGAAAATAACTGATCTTGATCGCCATCATAGAATCGTTCCATAAGCTTTTCTTTGTCCCATCGAAAATGGTTAAGGAGTATTCTGGTAGTTGTAGCTGGTATCTGAAAGAGTAAAAACAAAATTAAATTTCCTTTGTTGAGGTTATATACAAGAGACTGGGAATGGTCACAAAAGAATTTATCTTACCTCTACTACAGAATTAACATCCTTTATAGAATCTACCATGTGTTGGACGATTTCTTCGGTACTAAGAACCTCATAGGGATAGTCATCTGAATCTGTCTGTTTTTCTCTGTGTCCAGTGACTTCAACTTCCATAGCAAAATCGACGTCGTCTCCACTGGATTCATTGCCTGAATCGACATCATCGTAAGTTTCTTCTTCTGAATCCATTTTTTCTGAGTAATTTGAGAACAACCAAATTATTTACACCTTTCTTTACAATTTTTAATAATGAACAAAACAAGAGATAAATACAAAGTTATACACAGCTCCGATTCATTTTTTGTTACCGACTGAGGAGAAACCATGATGACATTTGTGAATAATGAATACTTTAATAAACCACAGATGGCATAGTGTAAACTGAGAACAATCGGATAAAATACAAATTTTATATTATATTACTGATTTCAATTATTAAATCAATTTATTGATAGTAACTGAATTTCATCAATGTAAAAAAAAATCATACCTACCTACCTACTTATAAGTATGTTTATACAGGTGGTGCACTAAAATATGTGCCAGGTGCCAACACTATCTATTTATCAAGTACTTACTATCTACTTATTCTTGATTTTTTTAACTCGTATAAGTACATGTATGTAAATTATTATCTTAAACTGACATAAAATAAATTAGCAGATAATTATTACTTAGCACAAGCTAATATAACATACCGTCCATACCTGTGTACCTATACCTGGGTATGGTAGGTATGTATGTTGTAATTACTTATTTATTTACTCTTAATAATCTTAGAGTGTAAGTCTAATTTGCACGTAATATTATCTACAGGAACAAGTATTAAATGTATAATTTCTTGTACGTATATTTTTATAATGAAAAATATACAGAGTGTTTCTCGAAAATTACAAATACGGTTTCAGACGAAAATTCGCGATCATGCGTTAAGACAGAAAAAACCTATATTATTATAAAACCAATTTAATGCATGGTAATTAGTTTTTTCCACTATGCCTATGATTTAAACATCCCGTAATGGATTATTCAGTATAGTACATATAATTGCTTTGCATTTTTGTTTGTTAAAAGAAACATAACCTCAACAGTATTGAACATTTCTGTAAAAATTTATTATTTTATGTCGTCAATATTAAATCGAATGACAAATTAGGCACTATTGCCCTCGTAGGTAAATACCTATTTTTCGAAACTAATCTAACTAGGTATATGTCTATTGTAGATTTGTAAAAAAAAGTTCTGTTAAAACATAATAAAAAAATATGTTGGGAATGTTGTTCAGTGTTATTGAGGTTAGAGATTGGGAGAGAAAAGAGAGAAGCATAGAAACTCATTGATATGCAAATTAATGGAAAAACACAGCGCAGGCGTCATTTTGTCGTCCGCCATCTTGTTGTAAGAAGGATTAGACATCAACCTAATTACTGTTATAGATTTTCGAAAACTATATCTATTATCTATTCTCTATATGCATCAGAATTATACAGTAATTTCTATATTGGATAGGTTTATATAATTCTCTCTGATGATAGAACCATTTTCTTTATGAAACATCAGATACCATAAGAAAGCGCTATAACCTTGAAACACATGAAGCTCAAAATGCAACTGACCATTCTAATTGGGTACTCTATATAAAGGTTTCATAAGGATCATTTTAACTCAATGTATTAAAAAAAGTGTACTCTATGAGTTTTGGAATTTTTGCGACGTTTCGTAAATGATATAGAGCGATTGATAGCAATTTTGATTAATGTACATTAAGCAGATAATACTAATGAAGGAGTATGATGCAGTTATATGATTTTAGTTATTTTATTAAGAATAAGTACTTAAGAGGTATATCCTTGAAATACAGTTAAGTTAGAAGACCTTGGAAACACTGTACATACTCTCTGACAGGGTGATGTTACGTCATAAATAGTGTGTCGTCACGTCAGAGTTACACTGTTTTAAGCGATGTTATTGGTGGAGAAACGGTTTCGGCGGCCATCTTCTAAATGGTAGATAAATGAAAATCCTTACAGTGGTGTTGGCACCTTGGGTCGAGGCTAGGAGACCTCGCGCCACCGACCATGTAACACTGCTTTTCAACGAAACGACTGTAACGAATACGTCGAGTTGTGTCGACGACTGTGTATGAAGAACAGAACGCGCTGTCTTTCCAAATAACGCTTGTAATATTTATGTTCGGTGTTTTACCGTGTAGATAATATAAAAACTATGTTAGTGTTAGTGTAAACCAAAGATATTTTGCTTCATTTTGTACTTTCGATGAGAACTAACAACAGTATAGTTCAACACCGAGTGTTTCCTTTTGATGGCGCTATGGCCGCTAAAACAGGGAAATAATAATCCGCCTTAACCTCATTCGTACATTTGTAAACAGTATAGACCAGCAAGTACATTTTGCTAATCTAGAGTCCGTGTCAACCAATAAACAAAACAAATGACTAACCCAACTTAAGAAGTTGATGCGAGCCATGGAAAACAGTGGTCGTTTGACAGCCGTAAAAGTTTTATTTTTTTGTCATTAATTAGCAACAAATTTTCGCGATGAATGTGAAACAGGAGAGGCACGATGAAGCGGAGATCCAAGAGTTGGCGGCTAAGTTTGTGGAGGCAAACAAGGCGAAGATGGCTTTGCCCCAAAGACCACTTCAGCAGGCTGGCCAGAGTATGAACATTTTAAGTTTCTTAACCACCGATAAAAATAAAGCAAAAACTAATAGTGTACCTGTACAATCTACAAGTGATAGTGAAACTAGAAACATAGATGAAGAATCGATCAAGGGAAGGTTTGGTTGGACCCTTATGGGAAAGATGCACATCCCATACATTCTTCGTTCTGGAGAGAGCTACTGTGCTGTTCGTATGGTTGAAATGAAGGTGCTGAACAAGCTGCTGAACTATTTACACCAAGATCTTTATAACTGCACGAATATAAGGAGCTATTATATCACTGAAGCGGAAGCAAGACTGTTAAATGAAATTAATTTTAAACATTGTGACTATCAATTTGGTAGGGAACAATTTACTTCAAGGGACCTAATAGTTAGGTTGACTGATGCTAATGAGTTTTATCAGTTCCTTGGACACTGTTATGCAAAACTCGTTAATACAACGGATGCAGACAACCTAGATAGGTGTGGATTCATCAGAATAAACAGAGAGTCAGTAGTTCCATATACTGTCTATAATGAACAGAAATATGTGCCGTTGTTTTATTTTGAAGGAGAAACTGATAACTTAAAACAGCGAGCTGACAAGCTAGAAGGATGGGATTTGTCGTATTTAAAATTCTGCTGCAAAGTACAGGGCATTCGGAACGAATTGTTTGCACATGATTCCTGTTCCGTGATTAGCTTAAACGATATAAAGAATTACTTTCCTCCGGGAACTTTATTTGAAGACTACTGGCCGAAGAAGAACCTTGATTCTCAGCTTCTGATTAATAATCGAAATCCTAATCAACAACAAATTGTACAGTGGACCCGACAGCCTACAGCTCCCCCAATAACAGCACATCCACCACCTTCACCCAAGCCAGCTACACAGGCCAAGGCAGCAAATAATAGTCACATGCATAATGTTCACGTTTACTCCAATTACGGCATTGCTGGTGGGCAACCTCCTTACCACGCAGCACAACCAAGAACTGCAAGCAGCGCTGTGAGGGCTACATATCCTTCAGCTGCTTCACGTCATATGAGACCATATTTCTCCAACATTGGGCAGGCACCACCCCCATTAGTCCGAGCTAACTCCTCCACGTAAGTTTTTCAGTACTTGTTTTACTATAATTTTCTTACTTGTACTAGCAAATTTTTTAAACTTAGATTGATTTTTGTTTTACTATAATTTTGTTACGTGTATTTTTAAAATCAGCAAATATTTAAAACTGAATAATTTTGGAGGGAAATTCGCGATTATTTAAAAAACATTGAATGTAGGTGATATGTATATTTGAAGATTAAGTAACTTTAAATTGTTCTGTTTACTTTTATAATAATTTTCTACATTTTAATTGGAACAAACCACATTGGGTACTTATTAAATAAAAATAGATAAAAAAAAATTATGGAAAATAAATGAAAATCGAATTGGTAAAATTATCTTTTTTTTTATATGTAACAAGCTGTCAACTATTATTTTGTACGAGTGTCTTTGTATTTGTAGGTACAAAATCTATCAAAATTCATGTTATTAATACAATGATCGTCATCTCAAACGAGATGCAACTTTTCTAATAACTTGGTCATAGCTCAGTCTTCTAAGCTATTTTGAAAAATTAGACTTATTGTTTTCAAACAGAAATTATTTACATAAAATATTTTATAAATCATCTCATTTCATTTAAAAAATCTAGAAGTTATCTTAGCAATGTTCTTTGTTAGTTATGTAATTAAAAAAAAAATATTATGTAACATTTTCTTTGGGATAGCTGTTAGCTATATGAGGAATAGTTTTATTGCATACTCTTGGTGCAATTATTAGAGTTAAATTCAATAGACTAATTAATTAACAACTAACCGATATTAAATATTACTTCATTATCATAATTATCTGTTAAATCTTGGAGGCAACTGTTATTTGTTTTGTTAACCTAAAACAACATGGAGTAGAAAACTATTGATTATATACATACATTTTGAAATATATACCTATTGCAGTTTATATTTTGCTTTAGTAAAATAAAAGACATGAAATAATAAACCTGGAAAAAGTATTTTATGTTTTATTTATTTTTTCTGATTTTGATAATACATTGTGCCCTAATACAATTAAATTAAAAAGAAAAAATATTTTGCTTTTGGAAATTTAAAGCAATTTTACATCCCTTTGCACCGTTGTCAACACACTGATAAAAGTGATTTTTTAAAAAAGGCAAAATATTGTATATACCTAGATGTTAATTGATAAGGAAATAGCTGAGCAGTGAAATACTTAAGTATAATTTTTTTTTTGTTATAAATAAATGTAAAATGGGATTTGCTTTACACAATTTGTAAAAAACGGCTAGAGCCACAGCTGGGGACAAACATTAAGGTGGGCGGCTGTGCCTGTACTGTCATGCCCTGGCTATTTAGGGAATTGGAGTAAATATAATTATAGGACAATGTAGTCATTTTATTTTTTGAAAATTATATTTGTGCAATTGAGACAAAATGTATATTAAGATTCATTTTTTTAACACTGGAAAAATTTAATGTATTTTAATAATCTTTTAATTCTTTATGATACGCTACTGGATATCAGTTTGTTAATCTAATTAACAGTTACAGATTTATTTTGCTTATAACTCCCTTTGTTAGATTATCTCAAGTAATCTTTATTAATTATTGTTTTCGTTTTTATTAAAAACTGAAAATCCATCATAAAATTGACATATAGGCAACATTTAATACAGTGCTGCGTGTACGTATATATATATCAAGTTAATCTTTTTGTATTAATAAAAATTTACAAAATGTTAATGTTGGGTATTACAAAATATTTTTAGGATGTTGGATAATTTTTTTAATTTTGTTTGTTATAATGATAATAGCAGATGCAAAAATAAATTAAATAAATATAGTATGCAGAACTTTAACAGTGACGTACGTTGAAAGGGATATTCTTAATAAATAGTGAAGATGGAAACTATTGGACTATTTCAGTAATACATATTTCGGTAATATTTAAGTATTAAAACAATAATTTGTGTTACGTGTGATGCACATTTACCTCTAAAGCCGCTATCGTCCCTGTTTTGTACCACTCCCTGTTCTTTACCTTTACCTAACAGTTTCCTTCTCCGAATTAATATTCAGTTTTTATTAGTATTAAATGAAGATATATTTCAGAAATATTAGTAAATTTAATAATAAGCTATAAAAGTTGACAGTATTTGAATTTTTCCCATGCTTAGCATCTAATTGTTTTTTAAAATTTGTTTATATAATTTTTTCTCTAAATAGATGGATGTTTGGCCTTGCCATTTATTTTAAATAAGGCGGTATGTAAGAATACAAAATTAAAAGATAATTTCCTTGACCTAATTAGTGTTGTCAAAATAGAGAACTAGGTAACTTATAAAATATATTTTATGGATGAAATAGAATAATTTGAAACAAATTCTGAAGTAAAATCCGAAAACTCCTTAATTTAATTTGATTATTGAATCACATAAATGAGAGAAAGGTGTACCTAGATGTTTGAGCCATGTATAAACTTTACAGAGATCATAAGTCGATTGTGTGTCACATGAATAAAAAAACATTGAAACTTGTTTTCCTTGATTTAGATGTGTATGTAGTTCTGACACTGAATGTAGTGATCCTAGTATGACTGGTAGTCGCAGGACACAAAGCCCTTTGGTACCTAATCCTGATCCTTCCGATACACTGTCTTCAAAATACTCTTCTGAAGAAAGCGAGTTGCCAGGACCACAATTTGAAACAGGTTCCCTTTCTCCTGATCCAAGTGTTTCGTATACTTTGGTACAATTGGTAAAATATGATTCATCAGAGGATGAGGTCTGTTATGAAAAAACAGAAACATCTGAAATTGAAGACTTGTTATCTTCTTGTTCCTCCATTTCTGATGATGTTCCTGATTTATTGGATTTGAAGAAGTGGAAATACCTCAGTGAACATCAATATTCAGATGATGAATTCGTAGAATAATTGCAAAAAAAATTGTAATATTTTTCTTAATACTTAAATTAAATTTAAAACCTGGTTCATTCAGTAACTTTATCAAAGTAAAAGCTTAAAGATAAAGTTGTTGACTGGATGCAGTAAAAATACTTTTAAGAAGATATTTAAATAGTTAATAATAGTTCATAGTTTTTTTGTTCTCAATTCGCAGTTTTGAAAATATTTAAATTTTGTTAGTGGTTTTAAAAATCACGTTATAGTATATTGTAATTGCAATGATTCTGTTAATTAGTTTTGAGTTTTTATAATTATATGTTTAACATTTTTTTTGGTTTTTTGTTTTTATTTATTTTTTGCTTTTAGCATTCATTTATTTTTTCAATTTTATTTGTTTGTTTATTTATTTCTTCTTTTTATTCTTTTTACAGAAGTTATACAAAATGATCCCTTTTAATTTACCATAGATTTTCCCTAGTGAATTTTGATACACAACTTAAATTATAATCTCTATATAATTCTCATTTCAAGTCGGCTACTGCACAAATATTTTTATCTGATGATATTATCAGAAACAACTACGCTATGGGTTATACGTCTCGACTGGCATTGAACTACTCCCTTAATATATTCGTCAAGTGTGTTACCAGACATCACCAGTTTCAAACTTACTAGTTGTCCTATTATGCCATAGACGAGGCGACTGACAAATACAATTTTGCAGGGTGTTGATAATTACAAACAAATATTTTTTTAATTTTTCGATCGTGCAATAAGACAATTGAATTTTTATATAAAAGTTCACGATTTAAAAACAATTCAATGGTATGAGAGATTTCTAACCTGTTTTACTCACAATCAGTAATTTTTATGTCAGTGATAATAATTTTGATTATGTGATATATTTTGACATCTTGGACATTTTTAGGCAAAAAGACTGTTTATTATCTACACTGCTAATAAAGACAATGTAAGTATTCAGTTCCAGTGGAAAAAACTGGCCCAAAAGTTCTGTAGGGTTCAAATTTAAAGAACATAAGGGCGTCTACTTATCAATCTTTTTGAATATTGTTCATTTAGTACTGAAATTGAACATTTACTATAACTGTTTTTAATGTGACTTTTTCTGAAAAACTGAAGAGTTAAAATCATACGATTTCAAAAACATAATTTTGTTGACATTATTATTAGTTCTTGATTTTATTCTTTGGATCCGTATAACTCCCAAATGGCAAAGATTAGTGTAGTAAACAGAAGTTCCTGTTTGCTTAAAAATGTCTAAGAATATAGAATTCATTTCAAATTATTTTGACTGACATAAAAGTTACTGGGAGAAACAAGTTAAAAATCTCCCATATCCTTGCCACTAAATCATATTTTTAATGACAAATTTTAATCAAAAAGTGTAGTTTAACAGGTACGACTAAAAAAAATGGTTGGTTTCACCAAAGTAGTATAAATAACTGTTAATATACACGAATTTATAACACAAACTGGTAACATTTTTGTTGTTTGTTTTTTTTACATACTATGAATCACCCTGTATGTAATACTGCAAAGGATATGCTTAAGAATACAAAATATTTCAAGAAGTGTACATTTTTAAGAAGAAAAGTTCATATGAACTTTTTGCTAAAAGATTTAGCTTTTGAGATACAGGGTGTTACAGATTTAAAAAAATATAGTATTTTCGCAAATATCTCTGAAGGTGTTTGACACTGACTGCTAAAATTTAGGTTAGTGATTTGACTAAATAAAAGTAAAAATTCTTGTTGAACTTGAATAAAATTGTCGATTGGTGTCGGAGATCCTGGGTGACATTGTCTTTGATTCCTAATTGCATTTCAGAGAAAAAATATCTCTTCCGTTTTATTCGGAAAAGTGAGTTATTTTTGTTTAAATCTGAAATTAGCTTGCCAAACAATAGCATAAATCGATAGTAACTATATTTCGATTCCGAGGAAGAGGTTATTGATCCTAAAAAATTCAATATTTTTCTGTCATTTATTTTTTTGAACCTTTGATAATTGTTGAAAATTATATTTATAATTTTGAAAAACCTTGTAGATTTTTTCTGCGAATACAAAGTTATTGTTGATTTATTACAGTGGTAAACTTAATAATTTTAGATTTAAAAAAATAATTGACTAGAAAATGACTCGTTTTACGAATAAAATTCAAGAGATCTTTTTTCTTTGAAAAATAATTAGGAATTAAATGCATCAAATTTTCAAAATACTCGGAGGAATCAACATTTTGGGGTCTTTAGCGGCAGTATCTCCTATTAACTCCGCCACTGTTTGAAATAGATATATACAAGTTCAATTTAATTTGATTTTTACTTATCTAAATCACTAGACCAAGTTTCATCTGTCTACGTCAATCATCATGGAAGATATTTAGGTAAATGTTATATTTTTCAAAAACGTCTTGAAAGCCAAGTTGTTTAGGACGTTTGTTCATACGAATTTGTAGGTCACTTTATGTCAGTAGGTACATGCACCAGTAGACATAAAGTATCAATGACATTTAAAAATATGGCATATGGTTAAGGCTCGGGTTAAGGTGTACATTTAATTTGGAATAGGGTGTACCCAAACATGTCTTAGCAAACCGAAACATATATATACGTAGAATACAGTACGAAGTGNTATATATATATATACGTAGAATAGTAGAATACAGTACGAAGTGACATAATAGTATTGCCGTTGTCCATATATGCAGTTTTTTTAAAGTTATTTGTTGTAGTTTTCGTTCCTATCCTGCGTATGGAAAGGATGATCACTGGTGAGTTCTCAGACTTTGTGTTTACATTCTTGTTTCTGTCTTTGGTTTTGTTGTGGCATTATAATTCTTGTAGTTATATTGAAATTGCAGGATTCACAAAAGAGTCGAGCATACCTTGGTTAGAGTTTTTCGTAAATGCCATTTTATCGAAATTTTCGTCTTAAAACCTCCCAACTCCTTTTTGAATCCGGCCGCCATAGCGTTTAAAGCCGCAATGTATCCTACTTCCTCTTAGCGATGAAAGCCCTCTTCGCTTTATTTTTTTTTTTTTGTAAACTTCCATTAGATTTATTTTCGTTTATTTAATCTATTTATACAACATTGCCATTTTTATTTTCACTTTATTTCATTAGGACTTATTTATAACTATATCACCTTTTATCAAACGTCTAACTTCTCATGGAAAATTTTGTGCAATTACTGAAAAGGGAATTCAAAACGTCTGAAGCGCCGCGTCGATCTGTATGGCAACCCCGGCCGATATGAGGAAGTGACTAGTGAAGTGTGATAGACTGATAGATTATGCACGCGTGGACGAGGGGAACGGGGTAGTTGTAGGGTAGTATGAGTTGTATCAATAATGAGGAGTGTACTTCCGTATGACGAAAAATTTGACAGGTCAAATTAATACTTTCGAGTAAGTGGTTGCGTAATATAAACCCAAAATGGGTATTTGTTTTTCTTTTTAGATTGTTTTTGTGTAACTTCGATTAAGCAGAGTTGCTGTACTGGCGCCCATAGATTACTAAATCAATTCCGTTTCCATTCAAAAAAGTTTCCATGAGAAATAGAATAGATCTCATACATTTTAATTCCCTAAAAAACTACTTGAATACGGCGTTAATACCGCCCCACAAGTGAAAATGGGCTAATGTTATTATTTATCACAACCCTATTAATTTGATGAAGAACGCGTTTTTTTACATACGTTTGTTAAAAAATTGTGTATTTGTGGTTAGAGCAAAGTTTTTGCGGTAAAGCAGTTCTCGGTTTACCAAAGCGTAACAGTTGAAAAAAAATCTTGTTCGTGTAAAAGAAACAGTAAGAACAATTATTATGCAAAATTAGATTAAAACAAAGTACTTATTTTAGATTTTAGATTTTATTTTGTCAGACTGGAATGGTTTCAAAATACATTTCGGCTTTACAACTGCTAGGCAATTCGGATGGATGGAGGAATTTTTTTAAGTATATTTTTTTTGCCTGTCAGTAACAGGTTTTGTTTGTAATTTATTTTCTAAAGTTGTCAAATATAGCTGGATATTCTGCAGTGCATGTATGTACATTACTGCCAAATTATAATTGGATGTTAGCATTTACGAGGGATCTAGAAAATTATCTCTTCAGTCTGATTGTGAAGCAACATTCCGTTTCTGCAAGGAGTTAATGCTATTAAGGACATTTTCTTTGGTACCATATTTTTTTTATGGATATTTTTATTAATCGTCTGTGTACTTTTGAGGTTAGAAAATTCTTTGAAGTTAGATCTGTGCAGAAGTGAAGTTTTAACTGCTCTTCAATAAAACTATTTTATTCAGGTGGGTCGGTATTTATATTAAGTGTATGGTAATTTTCTATGAGGAATTTCGTTTTACCCCTCCATTATATATTTTTTACTCGACCACAAATTGTTTTCTAAACCCAGTTTTTTAGCTTGGAGTTTAATGAATTCTGAAATGGAAATCTTTCAGAGAAGTGTCTCTTTTGCATATTTGTGTGCATTATTTAGCAGAGCTATTGAAAATGTCCAAGTATTATTTTTTTAATTGAGATTATTGCTTAATTTTAAAAATTATTGAAATGGAAATTAAGTCGATTGTTATATACGACTTGCCACGTGATAGTGTCATTGAAAAATTATTTCTGTTGGTTGATAGGTAGATAATGTTTCTAGTTTCCCTCGTATTTAAAGCAAAATTCTATTTCTGTTATATGAAATATTTCTCAGGTATTAACCGTTGTTTCTTTACTTACTCTTACCCTTTACCGACTAAAAGAATCTTTGTAAATACAAACTTAATAGTAATTTTTACAGGTTACGTGTTTATTTTTATTATATCTTACACTTGAACTTATTAATTTTTAATTTAAATTCTGTTGGTTTAAAATAAGTCGAGTTTGTACGAACTTATATTCTACCCTGAGATTGTATATTCATATTCATATTTTTATATAATCCTGACCGGGTTTAGCTCTAGCCAGAGCATTGATTTTTGACTACATTTTTATATTTCCCGTGTTTCCCAGAGATACGTTATACATATATAATATTTAAAAATATATTCAAGTTTGTAAATCTAAAAACCCTAACCTATTTACGTTTTTTTGTCAATACGCATTTTGTAATTTGCTAAAATTGTAAAAATATTAATTAATATTTTTGAATTTTTAAAAAACGATAACTGCAGTTATTGACATTGCCGAACGAGAGAACTTTAAATTTTAGCATTCTAGATTATGGCTAAATAACAAAATGAGATATCAGATTTTCAAGTGAGACATAAGGTTTGTGTATAAAAGAAAGCGGTACATAAATGTGAAAACTACAAGTTTCTACGTCCGTTATCCGGTATGAACTTTTTAAAAATAAATAACCACGTATTTTTAAATGAACAATTGATAAAAAATAATATACAGGATCTCCGAAAACAAATGCGCCCTACTTCAAGGGTAAAAATAATCGAATTGTAAATTCCTTAAAAAGTTACAAAACTTTTTTTTGTTTTGAGATATCTGTTACTTTAGAAATAAATATAAAACTCGATGTAAGGTAAGGTATTTTGAGGCAGCCAATGATGAACATAAACTTATTTCTTTCCAAAAGCATAGAGGTTACTAGGTACATCTGAAATAGACTTTTGTATTTTTGCCATATTTTGTTGGTAGGGATTTTGAGAAACTTAATGTAACCATAATGAATTCCAATTTTTTGCAGGTGATACTTACGAGAACTGAGTATTTGAAGGTATTCTAATCTAATTTTGTGCCTTTGTTAATCTTTTTTTTTTATAGTTTAGTTCAATTTGCCACGTTCTAGGAGCTATATGTCAAGGTAACTTTTGAATAGAGATAAATTAGGCTAAATTGTCAAAATTATTTAATATAGATACAATGCTATAAATTTAGCAAAACGGTCAAATTTGGTCAATTGACAGCAGCAGAAACTTGAATCGCATATTTCTCTGGATCAACGCATTTCAGTGGCATGTGACAAATATACTTATTTTACAGCTTGTTTTTTTTTTTTTCAGAACTTTCAACAACAAAAAATATATACAGGGTGTTAATTAAGTATGTACAATAAATTCAACAGACTATTATTTGAGTGATTTTAAGACAAAAAGTTCACATGAACATTGGTCCGTACATGCTTCGTTTTCAAGATACAGGGTGTTAAACTTTTGTAAAAAATTACTATTTCGTAAATAAGTATCTTAAATACCCTTTACCCAATTTTCTTGTAATTTGACAGTGTTACTTTATGTTATTTAGATGTTAACTTGTTTTAATAAAAAATTATTAAAAAAATGCTAATTTCCAAAAGAAACTTTTCCCCGTGTTTCTTGTGTGGTTCAGGAATATGCAATTAAGTGGATTTTTTTTCTACAAAAATTAATCAAGCTACGAAAAACATTCAAAAGACAGAAAAGTTGTATTTTTAGTTGCTTAATTAAAAAATATATAAAAATTACAAAAAAGTACATTTATTTGTCAATAATATTCGTTAAGGTCCCGCTCGGGACGCCACTGGACTTAATAAATCTAATCAAGCTGGGGTTAAATTAGCCCCTTAACACTAGAAATAACTGCCAAATTACAACAAAATTGGATAAAGGGTATTTAAGATATTTACGAAATAGCAACATTTTTACAAAAGTTTAACACCCTGTATCTTGAAAACGAAGCATGTACGGACCAAAGTTCATATGAACTTTTTGTCTTAAAATTACTCAAATAATAGACTGTGGAATTTATTGTACATACTTAATTAACACCCTGTATAGCGAATGGCAAAAGGTTGTTTCAGATATTTTTACTAAGGTAACTTGATCAGAATCAGTTCATTTTTAAAGTTAAGAGAAAATAAGCGTTTATCAAATATAAAATAATGAATGAAGGTTTAATGCAAAATAACGTACACAAATTGAAATATTGCTATATTTTAAACATGTCCGACTCAAAATGATTTAAAATTAAATCTATTTTGCTTCAAAATACGAATTATTTTAAAATCTTAGGGAGATTGTACATAACAAGGTTCGTATTACAATTCAGTAAAAATATCCATTTTCAGGCAAGGGGAACTCTTGAAAAGGTTTTCAGGTTATTAGAAATTCTGGCAAGAGTAACATATAATTCGCTTCACGTTTGATAAGTTATAAAAATAATCGAACACACATAGGGAAGAAGACAAATAGAAATTGCTGTATTATTAGGGATACTGAAAGGTAGGAAAAAATTTGACGTATAGAAAATCAAAGGTAGCCTTTTGAAAAGAATATATCTGGGCCTTATTTTGGCTGCGGTTCTGAACAAAGTACTGTTTTTTAAATTTAGATGCCTACGGCATCATATACAATAAACAAAAATGGTTTTTGGATTTCAGGCTGGCTCAGTACAACGCTCAGACCAAGTCAGCAGGTAATTACATGATCATCGAACCAAATATGAATCAGAACAACTACCATCAGGCATCACAGTCGAGTTATCCACCGCCCCTTCTTCACATGAACGGAGGGATATCAAGATACGAGGGACCTCAGACTACAAGGTATGGAGCAGATAACATTGACCTGGCTGCCCAGACCAGGTCAGTAATTTTTTTATTGTGCTATAGATTACATTATAGACTAAGTTTATTTTTATATTGTGCCAAGTTTGGGTACTCTGGCTTGGTTGGGTTCTTGAACTTCATATGTACTACCCCCTGAATGAAATAAGAAATTAATATAAAAATTAGTGATTTTCTAAAAAGCGAAATACAGAGCAGCTAATGCAGTCTAACCCGGTATGTTAATACTAATAGATCGAGAAAAAAGCTTGGACCGTCAATTTTACGGACACATTATTTAAGCGTTTTTATTTGTACCGCTTTGCCCTTCAGATAAAGATGACTTATTAGTAAAATTTTAAATAGCACAGTGTCAGGAATCTAGGGAGCTATTAAGAGGTGATTCTAACCAAACAACTGATAATATAAGTTCCAGTGAGACTATTTCTAAAACTCAGTACTAACGGAGTTACATAACCCCAAAGTAATGTTTTAATTATTATTATATTGGTAACAAACTGTACCCAAGAAAAACATCAATATTTGAAAGGTTTATGGGGCTTCAAAGCAGTTATTGAGTCAATCAATTTTTTTTGTTCGTCATTTTTCAAAAAGACACTTGGTCCGAGTGTCGCATATAGTGTTTTGCAATTGGTCTACCAAGAGATCCCTCATATTGACTACTTGGTTTCCGCATGGAAAAAATAATAATATCTGCCACAGTTAAAATTGGTAGTATTTGAACATGTCTCTAAGGATATGGCTATAGTGAAGAATTGAGGCTTTAGATTCGGCTAGAGGCAAGAGCGACAGCTATGCCCGCACATCATCGTACGACGATGACTATGCAGGTGCTAACGCATATGTTTTAAAACCCAAACTGTTGCCAGTGTCTGTAGTCTGTGTCTGAATCTGAAGCTTCGACTCTGCTCTGGCCGTGTCTTAACATGCTGCATTGCAATGTTTTGTTATTTTAAAAGAAAGAGAAAAACGTAGAAACCAATTATCTTCTTACGAATTTAAAACGTAGCGATATTCGTTTAAATGGCAAACTTCGATGTAACTGACGTTTTAAAAACTTTGCCAGCATGTCAAGTGGAGATTTTGAGTAATTAAAGTAAACTAAAAACCTGTTATAAAACAAATAATATAAATTTTATTGATCTTTATGGCTTATACATTATAAATTTGGACAAGACATAGCTAATACAACGCGAAACATCGCCTTGATGTTAAAAATGCTGTCACCGCCGTTCTTGGTGGTGAAAATTCGAAATATTTGAAATTATTCAATTTTCGTGGTTGAAAACAGTATTGCATTGTCGAAACCAAGAGAGTTACATGAACAAAATTTGGACAGGAAATTATATATGTATAACATTAATCGAAACATAAAATTTTGTTACATTTTACTTATTTTGAATTAAAAAAACTATTTGAATGAAATGAAATGTTTAAAAATCAGTGGTGTAGATGGTCAGTATCCGCGACACTGATTGATAAATTTTTACTAATAGAATTAGCCTCTATTTTTTGCCTAGTAGTTTCTGAATGCCCTGTATGACGGCCGTTTACTTTTTAAATTCGAGCTGTCGAGTACGTGTTCATTAAAAAAAATCAAATAAATTCGTTACTAGTTTACTTCATTAAAAGATCGAAGCTCATCATTCACTTGCAGTAATGAATACCAGTTATAGGGTTGAAGCTGCACAGATGAAAACACTATTAATTAATGTGTTTCCCAGAAAATGTGACTCTTCCAAGCATAGGTGAGTCGGTATGTTTACTGTATTGCTTGAATTGTTATTTTTACGTAGCATTCCTGTATAATGGAAAGTATTTTTACTTTTTCATTGCTAACCAGGAATAGTTTGGAAGGGAGCGATCATTTTAGCACACCTAGCACTTCTTCGGGAGTCGGTGAGAACGGTCCTCACCAGAGGTGTTCCCCAAATTACCAAGAGGCCAATCCCGAAGCCCCCAACGGTGAATATTTTAAGTATGTTTTTAAACTTCTCAATTTTGAAGATTGTTTATGTTCATCTTTTTAGCGATGCAGTAGATCAGCCACTCACATGTTTTTTTGTGTCTTCAAAAGTAGCAATAATGCATGTTGTCAAACATTAGATGGAGGGGGAGGGGTATTCTTGCACTGCTCAACGATTGAAATAAACGCAAGTGAATATTGCGATGTGACGTCTTGTTATTCAGTTAAAAAATACATTTTCGTGCCTTATCAATTTTTTCTTCTTTGGATTGTTATTGTTTATAAGAGCTTCTACGATATATCAAGAAAAGGAAATGACGAAACGCACGCTACCTTTTCTGTAGCTAGTTTCCATCGTAATATAATCCGCTCTGTATAGTTGAAAGTATGTACCTTCTAAATTGTAGTAATTTTTCTGAAGGTGCCCTTAATTTTTATAGTATGTCGTAGTAGATTTTTAGTGCACTGTATCAGTATATTCTTAGAAGATAATTATCCTGTAATTTATCACGTGTTTTATCTACGTGGACGTCTAGGGTTATTATTTGAGAGAAAATACTTTCCCCGATCAATGTCTTGTTATCGTCAGCTCTTCACAGAGGTCCAGCGTTTTGATAAACCATCACATCTGCTTTTCTCTGCATGATAGAACGGGATAAAGTAAATGTCTGAGGAATATTTTTTGAAGGGTGACGTTACTGAATCTTTTTTTTAACACGATTGTACTGTTGTGTTGAAATATTTGTACGAGGTGTAAAAACTACTGATGACTAACCTATATTCTATAAAACCGGAAAACGATTTTCAGTCGTTGAGCATTTAAAGGACGAATTATTTTTTAAGGAAAACATTTTTTGTTGCACATTGCTATGCATATACAAAGCATGTTACTAAATATATTTAATTATGTATAGAATGTTTAGGGCGAAAATTTGTGAACACCCTGTATAAGTAATGATAAATCTTGAAATATTTTGAGAAATTCTCTTGGACTTAACAAAATTACATATAAATTTTGTTTGTCGTACACAAAAATGATTTGCTTTTGATTTGTGTTTTGAAACGGTTGAATATAATCGGAAACAATTTAAATACCACTTCCTGTCGATGTTACTTTTAAATATGTCGACGGTGCCTTCATTTTGTAAATATTTTGATCTATTTACCGGAAGCAAACTTTTTAGCAACACGTAAGTGAAGGTAGACGTAGGTGTAAAAATATTTGAATTTTCTGTGACAATAGAATTGCGCGCTGCAATCTCTTGAATATTAAAAACAGTCTCAATTTAGAAAATGTATTTCACCCTCTCGTATATCTTTTGCATTTTAACATGTTTACGGCCGTTCTAATACGTTCCGCTCGATGCAAAATAGAACTTACATTTAGTTTTCCGACACTACATACTACGTTCAAGGTCATGGGACACCCGGTATTAACGTCGTTTTTCAAGTTTTACCATTCGAAATGGGCTGAAGGGATTAGATGTATTCGCGATAGTACAAAAAGATGCCTTCTACAAATATATTCACAAAGCTGTCCCAGCGAACACGCTCACTGTCAAAACCGGTTTTTAAGACTGGCCATTACATTTCCGGTTTAAAACTGTACTTTACAAAAATACGCCTAGAAAAGGAAAAACATATGCTTTCTAAAACCTCCAGAACGTAAAAATAATGTGCATAAGCACTCTTCTTTTTGTAACAGTTATGGTTATTTTAATTCAGAGCCCATTTTTATTAGTTTATATTATTGCCTTAAATCTATTTTGCATGAAATTGATTGTAATTTAAATCCAATGTAAATTTTCTTTAAAAAATCGTATTTTATGTTAACATAAAAACAGTTTTATATTGGGGAGCATTTCGAGTTTTTATAATCTAGCATTATTGCCGTTTTCGAAATATCCAAAGAATAAAAAAGTTAACTCTTATTTTGAGAAATTGATTATTGAATTTATTTACATATTTTATTAGTTGAGTCAACAACACCAGAAGTCGACGGAGAGAATTTTTTTAAATGACTTCAATAACACTATTGATTTGTGGATTGTAGTTAAAGTACGGTTGCCAACATCGAGGCAATGTAGATCCGAGCAAATATTTCAAATAATTTTCGCACGAAGGAAAGTCAAGAGGAACGAAATACATACAGATATTAATGATTTTATAACATTAGCGACAAAAAACGAAAATTGCTTTTGTAAGAAAGAAAAATAAAATTTCTAAATATAAATAATTCATTTGATAAATTACAATATTTATAAAACAGAACATCTAAATATTAATTTATTCCATAACATATATACATTTACATATACATAAATATCAACCAATAGTTTTTTTTTATTTATGTGGAAAATACTGTTTCTTGTTTTAGAAAGTTATACTTTTGATCACTCCGTATACTTACTTCTTATAAAACATTTCAGTTCTGGACCTTTTGAATAATTACTGTTATCTCTTTGACTTTGTTGTCGTTATGAGTCGCAAAAGAAAATTCTATAAACTTTTTGTCGAATAATTTTATTTCAAATCGGAAACCCGAAAATGACATTGTTGTCAATCTTAAATTGAGCAGTTCACATCATCACACCACATATACACATGGGCGTAACCAAGGGGGCACAGACTGGCCATTCGTTCTGAACAGTTTTAATTCATATAAAAATTTAAACAAAAATAAGTTATATTATTTATGTGTTTATATAATTGAGACGTACCATACCCTAATCCCACCCCCCTAAAAAGATCCTGGCTACGCCCATGTATATTGCAAAGCACTTAAGTTTGTTAGATCTGGTGATCTAGCAAGACAGCTTTTGCCGCAAATTTATTTGGACAAATGTGTATATAAACCATTTAATATACGATTCACTTTTAAATTAAGATACAACTTGTGGGATATGAATAAAGCGGTTTTAAAAATTCCGCTTTTCTTATTTCAACTTTATTTTTAATTGCAGAGAGTTGCAAAACAACTACGGCGTGAACAGCACATCGGCGCAGCTGGTGAACCAGCAGCCGGCACACCAGTCGACCAGAACTCAGTCCGCTAGCGTATCCGAAGAACGTAGTAGTATGACTAACGGTCGGTCGGTGTTAAATAACGTAAATCGAAATAAGTTAAGCACACTTCCCGATGCTCCACCGACTAGTGGTAATAACATTCCATATAAAATACAAAAAGCGCTAGTCGAGGGCAAGATGATACCATGCATCAACATGAAGCCCAACGTTTGGACGGAGATGCTCGTTTCTCTGCCCGATTTAGTGACGAATTTCTTCAACAACGTTCCGGTGCAATCTTGTCAGCAGGTCATGCAGGTCTTGGGAATCGAAGTTTTCAAAGCTAACCCGTGAGTACATTTTTTTTTATCTAAGTATCGTTTCTTATAGATCTAATATCTAATCTAACACTACCACAATTACATTGCATATTGCATTAGTACCTTTAGATTTTAACGCTGCTGTACGCTGCGTACGCAATCGCCTACTAGTTCCTGTATATTCTAATTTGTGAAATAAATTTAGTGAATAAAATAACAGTGTGACAACATGAAATCTTAACGATGGTTCAAAAGATTGTTTCAGTGAAGATTTCGTCGTAGGTATTAAAAATTTATAATCCATCTTAAACGTTATAAAATTTGATGCCGGCGTATTTTTTTCTAGGAAGTAAAATTCTTACAGAATCTCTTGGGAAGAGAGTTAATCTTAAAAAAAATCACATTTTTCATTCATATTGATTTCCCGTCAGAATAATTTTCTTTTCTTTTCTAAGTTACTTAAAAAAATCAAACAAGAACTTCAGTTTTTCATGGAATCAGTAATGCCGCTCTCATAAGAGGTAGTGTGTTCGTTATTGGACTCTCAGTATGTAGTTCAAAAAAGCGGACTAATCCCGAAATTATGATACTGCTGGTACAAGCAGGTATTGTATTTTTTTTTTTTTTGATAAAGATAATTGAATGAAATAAATTATAGATTTTGAATATAAATCTGTTATTCAAAATATTGTTTGGAATAAATTAATAAAGAAGCGTTATTTAGCTAACACGGACTCATAACAACGCACAGTACCGGTCTTAACCGATGTATCAGTTTTAGTCTTGGTCTTATCGTTCTCTATACTCACTTTTGACCTTAATTCTTTAAAAAACTGCAGATAGTAATTTATTGGTGACTGTGTGTGGAGAATGTCAAACCGCAATCCGTCTATTGGCAGCACAAATCTACACTGCGAGAAGACGTAATGTCAAAAGAATAACCGCGCGTGTACATTTTTCTCAGTTTAGTCATATATAAATGAAAACTCCTAATTCTTTTCTAAACAGGTACAATATTCGTACATCTTTTGCAGTCGTTTTGACGAAAACATGAGGAAAACCGATTCACAGAAATCAATCATGTCAATTTTTTAATTTTCCAACATTTGACATAGTAATTTATATCTTGTATAGTCGTCTTCTTATCTCTATTTAAAAAATCCTACTTATTTCAAGCTCAAGATAGTATAATTAATTATCATCGGTTGTATTCATGGCTTTTATGTACGAAACACTCCATAGTATAATTCTCTACTGAACTTTAAATTGTTCAAGTATTTACGTTTTCAATATCCCTCAGAATATTCCTATATAAAAATATCAAATCAATTAAAATAGGAGGAAAGTATTTTTCCATGTTTGTTGACAGTTTTTAGTTGTTTTTGCTATAAGGTTTGGGTTGAAGAGAGGCAAATTATTTTACGGGCCTTGAAAAACCGAGACGGTGTGACTCATCGCTTAGCTACCATGATGCCGAACGATGCAGGCTCGATATAACTACGAATGTTTCATATTCAGCACTTTCTTGAGCGTTTTGAGCGTTATTAACGTTTCATATTCCTATTTCGCTCTCGTTTACGCGCAAGACAGAGAAAGACGATAACTTGGTTCACTATTATAAAGAGGCGGATCTCTGTATTCGATCATGCGCATACGTATTGATACAGTTCACTGTGGAACAGTGGTATTTCACATCTGGGCTGTTTACTTCGTTTTGACATAGACGTCTGTAGCAAACGGCAGAAGGGGACTCGAGGAACATAAAATTCTGATACAATTAATTATACATAATATATTAGTACTTCAATCTCGTGAATACTTGTAGTTGTAACTTTTTGTAGGTATTCTTGTTATTGGGGGCGTCTCTGCTATTTATATTGCTGTATTTGAATCAGAGCTGGGTAATTCCTGGTGAAAAAGTAGTTAGCAATTACAATTCCCTTTTTTTATTAAAGTAATTTGGAATTATAATTGCAGCAAAATTGTTATAGGAATTGTAATTTGTAATTATATTATTTGAACTATCGAATTACAAATTACTTCCATAAGTACAAATACTTTTTCCAATTACAATTACTTTTTCTAATAATTATAATTTCTTTTAAGATCATGCGTATTGCGTAATTGCGTACAGACTTGCAGACTTCTATTATTTCATTTGAGGAAAGCCTTGTGCCGCGTGAACAATAAAACGTGATTTGGTGAATTAACCTCAGAATTAACAGAGTACATTTTATTTTATTATAATTATTATTAATTTAGAAAATATACGAAGTAAAAATATGTTGTCTATAGCATCAAGTTTTATAAAAATATATATTATGTATCTATGTGTTACTGCTCTTATTTTGAGTTGAGAAAACTTCTGGTTCGGTTACTCAGCCTTTCACTCGTACTTGTTCGATTCGTAATTTTTTTAATAATAATTATTGCTTTCCAGTATACCCAAAACTACTGTATTCTATATTTTGCAAATGTACTAACAACCAAAAAAAAGAGCATCGGGTTGAATTAATTACCTGACCAATAATATAAAATTATAGTTTGAACTGAACTAGTTTAAATTATTAGATTAGGAATAAAAATATAAAAATTCTATATCAGAAAATGAATAAGAATAATCTTTTCATTTTAGTATCAATTCTAATAAATAATAAAACGCAATATTACACAACACTTTTAATTAAAATTTTTAACTTAACTTTTTCCTTTTTCTCTGTTTGGTCACTATAATTTACTTTATCATAAAAGTAATTAGAAAAGTAATTGCTAAATTCATTTTCCATGTAACTGTAATTAAATTAATATAATTCCTTTTTTAAAGAATATACTTTGTAATTGTAATTAGTTCCTTTTTTTAAAAAAGTAATTTGTAATTGTAACTATTTTTAAATTACAAGTAATTACCCAGCTCTGATTTGAATAATACTACGCTCTTAAATCGACGGCCGACTAAAACATTTTGGTTACCCCTCGTACGCGTCTATAATGTCTTGATTAAAATTACACCATCGGATAAATGAGTATTGAATTTAGCTTCAGCCTTTGGAATTTTCATTTTTAGGGTACGATTTTGTAAGTTTTCTAACAAACTATGCGCAACAAGTCGGAATTCAACCGCCGTTGGATCAATAATTGAATGTAAGGGAGTTTTGTATGCATATAATTTTAAATGGGGATACAATTTAACATTATTTTTCGAGCATTCGAGGAACGAATTACTATGATAAGTTCGGTGATAGAATGACAGTTTGAGAAAGCTTCCAATGGCCGAGCGTAGAAAGGAATCGATTTTTTCTTGAGGCTAGAAAACAATAATAGCGATGGCACAGTTGCGTTTAGATTGAATAGCGGTGATATACAGTATGTTGTATTATTACTGTGTTGCTCGTTGCGGCAAAATTAATTTTTTTTATGGTGATTATTTAAAAAATAATACTTTTTTTTGTTATATTAATGCACATATAAATTGAAATCATGTAACATTACAGAATATTATGAGGCTATACTTGTTTTTGTAAAAAGAACTGTTATTATTGTTTTATTGTAGGACAAGAGCATAATACCTTTTGTGAACATATAGAAGAAATAAAGAGTAATGAAGTAAATAGCTAAGATTTGTTGGATTATTTTTATAACTGTCAGAGTTGGTAGGCTCTTAATATCATTATGTTAATTTTTGAAGAACTTTGTATTGTGTTGAAGGCTCGATTATTTTTTTTTGCAGTTCTCAAGTAAGGCTATTGCTGGAGAATGGCAGGTGTCAAAATGCCAATGAAACAATTCCTTTAGTGCAAGTGAGAAACGTGATTGACTACATGCCTCAATTGAAGTATATGTTGAGTGGTATGACTGGTATGTTAACTTCTGATGTTGCGGCGAAAAGACAGCGAAATAGCTAGGAGTGGGTTCATTGGGGGGGCACCTATGACTATAATATTGACTTTTACAACTACTAAGTGAAGTGCAACGGTCCTCATAGAAAAAAAAAACTTAAACGTGTTGTTTTATAAAAGTTGTTCCTACTGTGTAAAAATGAACTATTTAAAAGTGAAACATTACATGAATAATGTAATTTTTGGTAATGTTTTATTTTTTTACGTTTTTGAATTGTACATTTATCTTTAACATGTTGTGTGACTTATTTCTTCTGACATTTCCACAGATATTTTAAATTATTATCACTTAATAATAACAGCTGCCACCAAAAGATGTTTATATTGTTTGTCACTCAAGCTTGAGTGTTTTTGTATACGACCTGTACAGTTTCAGTTATACACTTTGTATACAGTTAAAATTTTGAGTGCCCCGAATACCAATAGTCCATTTCGAATTCGCTCGAGGCAGCCGTGAACCAAGAGGATACCTACCCCTTTCAGACAAGTTATGGTAAGTCAATTTTGGTGATATTAGAATAAGAAGTTTCTTACTTATTCTCACTGCCAGTTTTGCGCATGTGTAATTTGCATATGCAAAATTTTCCATTTCGGTTTTAATTTAAAATTATTGGTGGTGTCTTATGTAACACTTAACACTTTGGGAAACTGAGAATTCACATTAAGGAAAACACAACTTAATTTAAGGGATTACTCATCATCAATCAATAAATAATATAAATATATACAGGTTGTTACAAATTCACTTCTCACTACAGGGATCTCGGAAACGGTAAGAGATACGAAATAGATTAAATGGGGGCAAAGTTGCATTATCAGGGGACCAACATTATACCTTTAAAAAATCAAGGCTAACATGATTAGTTTTCGAAATATTTGGAAAAAACCGAAATTTTGGAAATCCGTTTTGGTTTCATATCAGCCTTGCTTTAGGTGATATTGAAAAATGAAGAACATTTTCCCATGACAACTTTTTGTCCTCTATTGAATGGTATAATCAATTTGTATATGTAATTTTTTGTCTCTCCAGGACCATCATCAATTTTTTATATACGACGCTGGAAACGTTTTTGAACATTTACTGTAATTTTTTGAAGTATAATATTCATTTGGTGTTTAGGTTGTTCATATGCATTTTTAAGAGTTAATTTGTCATAAAGTAATTAAAATTTTAATAACGTTTTAATTTTGACGCAACAGCTTATCGAATTATGTATGACCAGGTGATGGAGATTAAAACTCTAATAATGTTTTATTGTAACGTATAACGCTAATAGATTAAATAACTAGGTGGATTTCACAGGGTCTAACAACACTTAGAGTGTACGATAATTCAATAAACATATAAGTCTAAATAAAAAATTTAGATAAAGGAACGAATACATTGAAGATGAATTTTCGGGACAAAACGTCTGAATCTGGTTCGAGCAGTACAATATTGGAGGTAATGAAGGCTTGCAAAAAATGTAATAAAATTTCCAGGGTCATATTGAAAAAAATGAAGTCGATGATGGTCCTGGAGAGACGAAACGTTACATACAAAAATTGCTTATGCCGTTCGATAGAGGAAAAAAGTTGCCATGAGAAAGTGTTCTTTTTTCAATATCACCTCAAACAAGGCTGAAATGAAACAAAAACGGATTTACAAAATTTCGGTTTTTTTTTTTCAAATATTTTGAAAACGAATCATATTAGCCTTGAATTTTTAGAGGCATAATGTTGGTCCCCTGATTATGCAACTTTGTCCCCATTTAAACTACTTCGTATCTCTTACCGTTTCCAAGATCCCTGTAGTGAGAAGCGAATTTGTAACCGTCTGTATATGTATTTATTTACATTATTGACTTATTTTCTGACTTGTTTGAGACACCTGAATTTGTTATAGACTGAATTTGAATACTAGCAAATAATATTTTGCTAATGATGTATTTTAATTGAGAATTCCTTTGAAATCTTTGACATTTTTTTAATTTGTTTGACATAATCGTACATTTCCTTAAGTTTGTTTGGTGGTAATCTTGTTGAAGTCGTTTGGTGATTTGAGTATCCTCTTGTACAGAAACCTTCCAGTTGTGCTACAAATTATGTATAATTTTTATGTTGTATAGTAAATGAACAGGGTGTGGTTTTTGTTGGATAAAAAAAATTGAATTGGAATTTTATATTACATTTACAGATCTACGTTGGGTAAATGCAGAAAGGAGACATCCACAACTTGCAAAATGGTATGTTCTACGTGATTTAAATTTGACAGCCAGTTTCATTTTAAATCCCAGTATTTTAGCAATTTAAGTAAAAACATGCAGATGTAACTAACATATTTAGTATTGCCATTGCTACTTTTGTTAACAGAGTATTTGGAAGTGGTACCATCAGTGCCCTATATACAGGTTGTGTTAAAACAGTCAGTCTTATGTACCAATTATCAATGAACTGCCATTAGTACTGTCACGGTGGGTTTTTGGCCTTTCTAGTCACCTGTTAAAATAAAAGTGGCATACAGTTTTTTTTTTTAAGGAAAGTGTTAATTTAAATTTAAAATGTCTGTACATATCCCTTTGTTACAATATTTTAATTTATTTTTAGATAAAATATAAGGATATAGATAGTTTCTCTTGAATGTGAAATGTCCAGGGTAGGGGAGTAATCTAGATACATAACATATTCAGATTAGATAAATATTAGAAGTCATGATAATTTATTTTTCGTTTAGTGTCCTTTGTACATTTTTTGAGATTTTTCATTATAAGATCTGAACGTGGTCCTAGGGATTACCGAATCAATCGTTTTGAAACATAACCTTTTTATATTTGCCAATAACATTACAGCATTTTTTTTAATAATTTTTATTGTCTCCTGCCTGTGATATAAGCGCAGAATTTACAAATCAGTATTTAAATTACCATTGAACATAAACCAATTTTAGTCCAAGGAATGACACATTTTATGATCAGAGATGACAAAACTGTTTTATTTTTGTTTAGAAGTTTATTGTAAGTAATATGTTGTGATAGTACTTTTATAAAGAATGTATGGGTTTTTTATCAGTTCCAATATTTATGAGAACTGTTTCTGTATTTAAGTAACTAATTTGATTGAAGACAATTTTTTCAGGTTTTCTCAACTCATTAACTAAAATTTGTTTTCAACATCTTGTCGCAAAGCAAATACTATTCAAAATACACAACTCTCGCTGCCTTTATAATTATAATTTCTGCTTCATTAAGGTCTAATTATGAAGAATAAACTGTGTATTTGTTGTGATCATGTCCCTTAAATTATTTTGCCTATTGAAATAGAAAATCATTTTATTTATTTTATTTCATAAGACAAGTATGTTTTTTATTTTTTATAAACATGAAACATTCTGAAAGTGGTAGCTTCTTAATTTTAGTAGGTGTTATAGCTGTTATAAAGAGCTAACACCAAAAAAAATAAAGAAGACGTGACGACTGCAAGAAATATATTGTTACTAGTCCTCATTGAAATTGGAGAATACAAGAAATAATTTTCAGCTACATTAAAACAAGCCTGTAAAGCAATTTCTTTAGTAATACTTCAGTTTCCTATAAAATTTTCTATTTTTTCGCGATTTGATTTTCCAAAAACTTAGGTTTAACATTATTAATAAAGATTTTTTGTAGAAATCATTACATTCTCTGTTATTTTGATTATGTAATTCGATTCCTTTGCCAATATTTCTTATTATGTGCAAATATGATTCAGTTGTTATGTTACCAATTTTTGGGTTTGGCTACATTGCAACTGCGGCACTTTAAGAATTGAAGAAACATGTTAATAGGACTGGGATATGTTTTTTTTGACCCCTTGTATATATACCAAGCTTTTTAAAAACTTCTTGTGGTTTTTGGTGTGTAATAAGATACTCTTTACCATATCCGAAAAATGTTTTAAATCATATATGTTCCTTTATGCGTGTAAGTGTTTTAATGTTTAAGTTTTCTCAAAATGCCTTTTCTCTGTTCATCTCATGAAATAGGCACTTGTTATGTAATATCGGGATTCAAAATATGAAAAATCTCAAAAAATGGATTGTTCATTTTCAGATTTTGATCAAGACAATACTTTTCATTGTTTGGTTTTAGTGAAATATGTAATATATTCAGTATGGTTTTGTCCACATAAGGTTAAATTTACAAATGAGTTGTATAGAAAAAAGGCTCAGTCAATAAGTTTTAAGTATTTATTTTTTGTTATTTTTATGATTTTTGTAATAATAAATCAGAATACAGTTGATCACTTGAATGTTTACAATATTTTATCCTGTCTTGCAGTCCCATATAGTTATTGGATATGTTGCAGTGGTCAAATTCAAGGAACCATCATGTTTACGTATTCTTTGTTGATAGTAACACTCACATTTGCAATGGTGCAATATTTATTTTTATTATTAGTATTATGTACTATAAAAATACATATATTTTCATTTTTCTTTTTGGTCATACTTATCTGATATAAGAACATCATAAATACACTTAAAAAGATGTTCAGGTAGAGTGGTAGATACAAATTCAGCAATAATCTTTCCTGTTGAGCCTAAATTTGTAGATTGCGTCGAACTCTGTAAAAATTCAGTTCCAGTGAGTTAACCAAATGGTTTAGTGTCTTTGTAAAATGGACTGATCAGTTTTTAAGTAAAAACAATTTGTAGTATGGATCATATGTTCCTCACTTGTGTCAAAATGTGGTCCAAACTAAAAACATATTTTAAACTCTCAGTGTATATAAATCCTTGTAAATAATAAATTATATTTAGATTTAAAAGTTTTATCTGCGAAACATCTCTGATCATAGGATGTCACAGTTTCGGTGACTTTATTTAATGGATGTTAAAAAAACAATAAATGTATTGTTAATAATTTGTGCTAGTGCTACTTAAATAAAAATCTTTTTAAAAAAAACAGCTAGTGTAATTTTTCTTTAGCTCTCTCCGAAATTAGTTTTGTATCCAAATGTGTTTCTATACATATAGCATAAAGAAGTGTATTTAATAAAAGTTTTCTTTTCTATTTTTGTTTCTATTTTACCAGTTTCTAAATAGTGTTACTATATTTTGGCAAAATTTTGTTTCATACTATTAGACGTAAATGTTACTATATATGTAAATATTCATCCATTACTCAAATAAATCTTCTAAGTTCTATTATTCACCGTGTCTCTTATTTTCTCAAATTCCCTTGCCCTTTTCATTCAACATTTTCTGTTTTTCCACTTTAAAAACTATATTTTTATTAGACAAAAATAGTTTAGATAAGAGAAAAATATTCAAGTAGCCAGTCTCTATTAAATTAATTCAAAGCAAATCTAAATTTGCGGGTGTTTGAGCAAAAAGAGAGGGGATGGTGGTAAATTTAAATACCACTTGAAATATACATGATTTCTGTTCATCGTACCTAGTTTTACTGTAAAGTTCCGTAGTTCATTGATAGATGTCGCTCTGAAAGCAAATCTAGTCAGAGCTTTTAATTTTGGGCATATTTATTTTCCAAATTTTCCTTAAATTTTAAAAGCTAACAAATATTAGGTACATCAAACGCCTTTTTTTAAATAAGCTGGAGATTTGCCAAACTTGATAATTCCGATCTGCTCAAAAGCAGAACATCGATTTCATGTTTACTCCTTAGTACACACATCTGCCAACAGATGGCAAGAGTAGTTGAAAAATCATTAATTTAAATACCTATATATTAATTTTTAATTTAATTTTTGAATTTTATAATTAAGGATCGTTTAATTTGTTTTTTTCATAATTTATGCCCAATTGCTTATATTTTTATAACAAATTATTCTCTTCCCCAAACTTCTATATTGTTTTACCTTTTCCAGTTGCTGACAACCAAAGAAGTTGACCATGTCTTAAACTGCTGCCCTATTTGAGTTAGTTCTTCCAGTTAGCTCTTCAGTTCAAAGTCAAAGAAATACAGAAAAAATTTAAGTTAGCGATCTTCAAGTCACTTTAATTAATGAAGTTGTACTCGATGTTTATATAAGCTGAAAGGTATATATATATTTTTCAATTTTTAATTGTGTTAGAATTTATTAGCAGTTTCCGAAAAGTGTATTGTAAAAAATCTTAAGACAGCTTTTATATGTATTGAAGCTTTCGTCAGTTTCGAGTTAGATTTTTAACGTGTGTTCTACTAACTAAATCATTCTTCAATTTCCGTATTTATAAATGAATATTCTGCGACCCTTAAATTCTTAGCTAAATTTTGGTGCAGTTTTCCATCAGTCCGCTATTAATAACAATGTTCTGAAAATGCAAATCTTATGTCCGTTGTTTAGACTATGTTTCGAAAATTTGATTGCCTAAATACAAAAACTATTCGTTTGATTTGAAAAAATTATATTTCACACGTAGAATAAAGCAGTTTCTTACTGGGAATTATTTCCTTTTCTAACAGAATGAAAACTTTAATTCGAAGAGTAAGTCCGGGAAAGAGTCATCACGTTCAAATCCTATCGCCTCTCCCAGTGCCGCAGAAGAGCGCAAATATTACCTACTTGCTGTCAACCGCACGTGGATGTTGGGGTAGCGTTGCGTCTACCCCAAATCGAAACCAGCTGACTGCGCGCGCGTGATGCGCATCGCAGCCCGTAGTATAGCAGTAACAATTACACCGTGGAAATGGAAAGAGTGCTCAAACGTGTTGGCCTCTCCAAAAGAACACAATCAGATGTCGAGGCTCACATGACCAATCTCGATGAAAATGTTAAAGTAAGAAGACGGCGACGCAGCAAATCAAGACGGCGCCCGAGTCAGGAAAACAAAAAAACGCGCGGGTTATTTAATATTGATTGGGATTCTGTAAAAGATTGCAAATCCTGCAAATCTCGAGCCATCACTAGGAGGTTCTGCAGCAAAAGAGCCGACAACGAATTGTACAGGTCCAACAGTTTCAAGTTTGAGAGATTCATTAGAGGCAACGAGGAATTATCGACTCTTGGCAAAAAGGTAAGTCTTCGAGCTTAGAATCCTCACACACCTTCACACTTATTGATATTAACCAACCTACCCGGTGGAAATGGTTCTTAAACCTACAGGTGGATGATAACGACCTACTTCACGCACAATAATTCTAAAGAAGGATAGGTTATGATTCGATTGGCAATCAACCCTTCATCTCATTTCCCAATATTTTAGTAACACAATTTTTATTTCCTCCTGTGACATGCTTAAGTTGTCCTAAATTTGGTGTTTAGATATTGATCCTTTAACCCTAGATAAGTATTCATTGTTCTGTGTGCCGTACTATAAATATTTGGGGAATAATCTTAGTCATCTTCCAAACCCCATCTATAAATACAGCTTAGCTTGGCCGTACAAAGGGATGTATTTTTAGTAAACAGGTTTATATATGTTTGTATACGGGGTATATACAAAATCGATGCAGTCTTTTTACATTTTTTTTTATTGCTTCCATACATCTTGAAGAGATCGATTTACAAACAAACAATGTGATGTCATTGACTGTTGTTATGATTTATCGACTCATAAATTTTCTTTGATAACTAATGCAGAGATACTAATATATCTGTAATATTCTAATTAACAACAGCGATAACCTCTTGTAACTAAAAAGAGGGTGCCATTAAAAAAATCGTCATTGTTCTTTTGAGACCGTAACAATCTCCAAAGCCAGCTTAAGCTCGTCATTATTTCGTCTCATAACATGTAAATATATTTTTAAATAATTACATTACGTACAGTGTGTGATTTTGCGGAAAATACTACATAATGACAATAAATGAACTGGTTTTTAATTTCTGCCTACTATTTTAACTGGTTACGGAAACTTGAACTAGCGGCCTTTTATGTTCCATAACGGAACATTGCTCGTTTAATAATATGTCGTTTATGCACAAAGTCTAACAATTTTTTATTTTGGGGGTTCGAAAATATTTTATTGATAGTTTTGTTGATATTTCTAGACTTACTTTGTCTCTAGAACCGTTAATGACCATTTATTTTAAAACCGACGCGTTACTTCTGCAAAATCACGGTTTAGCGCGAAAAATGGGTCATTAAGTTTACTTCATTCAGTTAACGTACGAAGGAAACATAGTAAACCCTCTCGATAAAGCTGTTCAGTATTTTCCGAACTACTTCCAATCAAAGTTTCCCTAAGCTACGCCTGGCAGTTTAATGAAGCAGTAATTAAGTTCTGCCCAACGTGCCGACATGTCATCAGCCCTAATCTCAAATGTTTGTCTTCGACGGCGATGCCTTAAACGCTAAACATTCGTTGATCTAAAACGTAATATGTCAGTGTTTTGTCTAAGCCCTACTTGTTTATCCATACACCGAGGAAGCCGCTGTCGAAGGCCTAAACTTTCGCCTACAGGGGAAACTAGAAAAATATATTAAAAGCATTTATTCACTAATTGAATCATTATTCCTATTTTTGTCCTATTACAAAAATCAAAGAGTAACAAAAATTTTACAGTATCATCTTTATGTTAAACACTTAATCCAGAAAGTGGCCTCCACATTACCAAAAAACCGCAACTTTCTATCTCTAATAATAAACGAGATACTAACATATCATCGAGAATGAGACGCACTGTACATATCAAAGATAGAAATATCAGTTTGGTTCATACCCTTGACATGTATCTGAAAACAACTGTTATTCTTATAGTTCATGCCGATCTGTCTGTCGTTAACAACACATATTGCTTATTTTATATATTTAGAACAAGAATATAGTACATGCAGATAAATCATCATTTGTTTATGAAACGGGTAACTGAAAACATTTTTTGTTTTTGAGTTAAAATCAGAATTGAATTATTAGAGGTAGAATGGGCTGTCTCTTGCAGACATTACGTAAACAGTAAGGGATTGTGAAAATGCCAAGAAAGATGTGGTTGCATTCTTCTTTTATTCATATTTGTTGCAAAAGTAACATTTTCTGTGACAATAAGTAGTGTATTTAATGTCGCTAGTGGTATTCCCGAAAATGTCTCAAATTTCGTCCTGTTGATTGAAGCTGTTTTTTTTTTAATGAATGACAAAACTTTTAAAAGAGAAAACAGAAATAAAAAGAGACTAAAAATATTCCAGTCACCAACTTTTTGACGTGCGAGATATACAGGGTGTCCCGCATAAGAACCGACATCAAGGCAGGTGCATGTAGGGGTGTCCAAAATATTGCAGTTTAACCAAACTTAAATCCTATACACCTTATACAAAGTTGGGCCCTTAAAAAATTAATATCTCTGCAACACTACCGCAGAAGAACCAAATTTGGTACATGATTTAGGTTTATTACTGGTTTTCTTTAAATATGATTTAAAGTTAATTGAAACACTTCATTGGGGATGACTCACCCCTAAAAGTGTACAGAACTTTTTTTTCATTGACCGAATTGAAAAATAGTAATATTAATTCACAGCAAAATTTAATTTTAATTTTTTTTTACACTTAAAAAACTTTCTGGTTTTCAAGAAAAACCGTATTAACTGACACAAGATTTTAACAGTGTTCATTAGAAAATAATCAAAAAGTCAGTAGTAGTAGGCTTTATCTTTCAAATTTGACAATTGGCCAAATAAATTTGTTCTTCACTTCTCTCCTAATTCTACAAAAAGGAAACAAGTACCTAGGTAGTTTTTAAATGAGCGAATATTGTATTAAGTAAAAAACACAAATAAATAAAAATAATAGTTGATATTTTTTCAACAACAATCAGAGGCAATTGTTGAAATAAAATAATTTTATTACTAACTGACAAGTTTGAAAGATAAATTCATTGCCTACTACTGACTTTTCGATTATTTTCTAATAAACACTGTTAAAATCTTGTGTCAGTTAATACGTTTTTTTTAAACTATAAAGTTTTTTTAAATTAAATTGTGCTGTGAATTAATATTATTATTTTTCAATTCGGTCAATGAAAAGAAAGTTCGGTACAATTTTAGGGGTGAGTCATCCCCAATGAACACCTTGTAGTGCTTCAATTAACTTTAAATGATAGTCAAAGAAAACCAGTAATAAAACTAAATCATGGTTCTTCTGCTGTAAAGTGTTGCAGAGATATTAATTTTTTTCCGAAATTTAGGGCCCCAATTTGGGGGCTAATAACTCCTCAGGGGTGCAACTTTGTATATAGGTAAGTTTGGTTCAATTACAATATTTTGGACACCCCTACATGCACCTGCTCTGTGTCGGTTCTTATGCGGGACACACTGTATATGTAGTGATGTATTGTCTGCTGTGGGGCAAAACTTTTTTGATAAAAATAACTCGTGACTGATTTATTTGGTGCAAGGGTTTATTTCATTATTTTTTTTAAATAATTTAAGTAAATATTTCTTTGTGTATATTATTCTTGACTAAAGAAGTCTTTTTAGAGAACTTACAATTTTTTTTTCGGTATATGTAACAAATTTTTGTGCATTGTAACGGGTAACGCGATAAGTTCGTGGAGGGAATAGCGCGCCCCGAAATCCGCAATCGAATAACCGAGTGCAATATTGCGATTTCACAGGACGTCAGTCAAGTCGTCGATTTAAACGAAGGGAATTGCACCACTCCTCTAATCGGAAATATTTGGAAGTACTCATATCCAGTTCCACCCTTTCACATTTCCATTTTCCACGCGCCGGACAATTCTATGTCCGTTTCATTTATTTTCAATATTAGCAGAGCTGCGGACACTATTTTCTCAGATCCGAGATCCAATATGTGCAATCAATTATCCCAATACGGGTTGAGTTGAGCTCAACCCCACTGATTGATTTTTACTTTGTTCGCCAGAGAAAAATTACGGCTTCATGGAGTAACTGTAAATCGTCGCCACGAGACATCCCAGATTGGTTCTTATTGGAAAGGCCGCTGTTTCACTGACGTACAAATTCTTTACTTACTACGAGAAGAAAATGCGGCATTCTACATTAAAATTTTGTCAGTTGAATTGACACAATTTGCTACAATATTTATATCGGGGTAAAACACAACACTGCACTATACAAATTGTATTTCGATTCCAATGAGAAGTACACTGAGAGAAATCGACCAATAAGAAAGTTTTGCTGAAGAAAACTGAATAAAATTTATATTTTGCTTTTTCTTGTAATTTGTTGTTCGTCTAAATCAGGTCATTGACATCTGAGAAGTACAATCTAAACACAGTGCCCGCTTCGTCCTTATTGACATCAGAATTTCAAATGGTGACTTTAAAATAACACGTCGAAAAGTCACACAAAAGCAACCTGTTTTTGCAAAACTATTTTCGCTTTCTGCCATCCCCTTAGCTTCATACCTACCCTGTATATTAAAAAACACACTTTACACAATCGGATATGAAATTCAATTCGATATCTTTAGTAAAACTGACAGTAGATATTGTTTATATTCTCTGTTCAATGGTTATTTTTAAATTTGGTCGGTCCTGGTAGATTATAATTTGTACTTCGATCGAAGTAAAGGGTCGAACAATGTTTTCGATGCGCATAAATTTAGCCGAACGAATTAGCGTTTTGATGGGTAACACTAGATAGACAAATAAAGACATTTTTCACGGGTGAATTGAGACAGTCCACTCCCCATATTAATGAAGTTATTATCAAATTACAAGGCACCCTTATTGGAGGCAAGGGTCAAACAATCGCCGTACTGACCATAAATGATGCCCCAGTGTCAGGTGTCAGTTTCGATGGCCGCCTACCGGTTTAGTCGTTCACCGGCGACTCCGCCATTTTTTTAAATTTTATTTTCTATTTCCTGTTTCAATTTTCGCCTTGTTTTGAAACACCCTATATAAACGAATTGTTTTCTGAGGATGCTTGTGGATCTAAATACCTCTATTATGTTGGATAAAATGCACTGTTAGTTAAGTAAAAACAATATTTTTATAGGCCGTAAAATGGCTTTATGATTGTTTCGGAAGATTGGAAATGGCGGAACATAAACCGATATTACTACACTTTTATACATTTGGGGGAAATCTT